TAATAATAATAATAATAATAATAATAATAATATAATAGTAATGATAATGATAATGATAGTAATTAGAATATTTAAACAAGGAGCCCAGCTCACTATAAAGTGCTCTTCAGTGGAGCCCTGCATATTAAATAAATATTAAAAATATTAAATATTAAAAGTTAAGATTTTCTTTATCATATTTGATGTTGAATAGGGTATTTTTGCCATATTTGTTCTGAAATAGAACAATTCTTTGCCACTTGGAGTCTGAAACTGATAATTTGAATGAATTCCTTACCTATTTCTGTACCTGAGTTGATCATCTTACAGTTGTGCTGTAGTTGACTTTTAGCCTTTTTTTCAGCACTATATACAGCGGATTCTCGATTTTCCAACCCTTTCATTTTTCTGACCTCCTGATAACTTGAACTAAAAGTCACCTCCCCCCCTCCACCACCTCCCAACCCCATACAGTTGGACACTCATTCTACCCACAATTTCTCAAACCACCTGATTGTTCAAACCAATTTTGTTTCCCTTGGAGGTTTGAAAAATTGGGATTTGACACTACCTATGCAACTGCGACTTGTTTGGCTAGTTGAGCAGTGTCATGCAACATTTCTTTTCAGGTTACCAGCACTTACGCATTATTTAAAGCCCTATTTAATGCTGAAAAATCATGATAAATATTAGTCTACCTACACTTCACTTCCAGTAATTTTTGGAGCCTACATTCCTGGCTAATTTAAGCTAGTGAGGGCAATGGAAACCACTCCAAAAATGATGAAATTGAGCCTGTGATCCACCCTTATAATTTTTTTGAACTTAGTTTTATTACGATCATTTTTTCACACAAAATGCATACACAATAAAATTACATAAAAAGTGGAGTGAACTTTTTTATACAATACTGTATAAATTTGTTTTTCGACAAGTGAAAGAAGTACATTTAAATTTGATTGAAGGGAAGAATTTTTTCTGTTTATTTTTATGAACGTTTTTGGGGCAATTTTGCTTGGCTATTAAGATCACTATTTGATAAGCACTCTAGTTAATCATGGCTTTCACTCTTGAAAGTGAAGGTTTTATCAGTTTTAGATCTGATCATTGATAGATTAACTGTTTCAGTGANGGAGGAGCAGTTTTGTTTTGCTTGCGCTGCCAGCTTTTCTTCCTTCCGTGATTACTTCTTTTTCACCATAAATAGGGGGGAGGGGCTGGTGGGCCCCCCAGGCCCCTCCCCTAGATCTGCCACTGTGTTTAACAACAAAAGATCTTTCCTGAGAGTAACAAAAAATATGCTAACGGCAATAAGGCTGTTGAGATTTGTGAAAAAATATTTTAATGAATAGAAACGGAAAGCTGTTGCATTTCACGGTGTAAAATTAGATGCTCAAGGGATTCTTCTAGCTCAGTCAAGGTATTTTGAGTTATTTTGGCCACGTACAAAATTGCCTTAAATTGAAGGAAACCTGAAAATAATAGCTCACTAAGATAGAAGAACACCAAAGAGATAATAAAGAACCACGAAGGAACAAGGATGGTCAAGGATGGAGAAGATTGACACGGATTACAAACGACGAACTTGAAAGATTTAGGTTAAAATTTTTGAGATGCGCAAACCGTGAAGTACCTCCTTTAAACAAAATGTACATAAAGGCTTAGATGCTAGGCCCGTTTAATTAAAACCTTAATCGTATATATATAATTCTATACCATCCCTTATCATGCTGATTACAGCCTGTGAGCTTAATACCACCTGTTTGTTTACATGCGCAGTTGGAATATAAATTCTCCTCAGTAATTGCTACACATTTTCTTCACTGTTTGTTGTGAGAATTTGGCTGTACATCAGCCCAACAGTTTTCACGTTATTGTTAACAAGTTAAAGAACAATCAAATGCTCTAAACTTCGTTGACGGCAGCGAATTCCCCGTAATCGATTTCTCCGTCTCCATCTTTGTCAAGAAGGCGGATCAGCCTTTTGAGCTGCGCGTCTGTAAGCGGCACTTTGAGTTTTTTTAAACCCGTGAACATTTCTTCAGGGGACACGCTTTGCGTTTTATCCTTATCCAAGCAGTTGAAAAGATCCACCGCGCGCAACCTTTTCTCCGACAGGAAAGTCTTCAGCGCAGTCAACAAGTCGTTTTTCACCCTTCTTCCGGGATCGTTGTCCTCGTTGCCATAGGAACTAGCCAGGGAGCCTCGTTTACTGTTGTTGTGGCTCGAGGCACCATACGCAATCTGGAAAGCGGGCCGGTTCTTTGTAAACTCCTCCAAGAGCACTAAAAAGTTTTTCTTTACTGTGATATTGTCCAGGTAAAGCTCTTCCAAAGCTGAGTCAGCGTTAGCGTTGAACGCTTTAATGAGCGTGTAAGCGCCAGTGTTTCCGAGAGGATTAAATCCTATTTTTAGAACGCGTAATGTTTTATTGATCTGCAGACCTTTCGCCAAGCCTAGCGCCCCCTTCTCTGTGATGCGGTTGTGGCTCAAATCCAGCACGAGGAGTGTGTCATTCTTTTTGAGCGACTCACCCATGGCCTCAGCGCCTTCATCCGCGAAACCATTCCAGGACAGATCTAAGATCTCTATTGAGCTGTTTTCTCTCATGCTTTTGCAGATTGCAATGGCACCTTTCAACCTCAAGTGATTCCAACTTAGGTTTAGCTCGGTAATACTGTTATTTTCCGCTAGAGCCGGGCCTATTAGCTCTCCGCCTGCTTCGCAAAAAGAGTTCTGACTCAAGCTGAAGAATTTAATGCTTGTATTGCTCATCAAACCGTCGGCAAGTGGTTTGGCATCCTTGTCAACAAAGTTATTAAACGAAAGATCAAGCCACTGCAAGTACTTGTTTTGCGCGATAACACTCCCCATCACTCGCGCCCCATTTGAGCTCATCATATTCCCAGCAAGGTTCACCCACTTTATGAAACAGTTCTCGAGGAACATCTTGGCGAAACAGTCCACCCCTTCCTCGCCAAGATTGTTCTCTTGTAAGTCGAGTTTCTCCACTGTGGTGCTTTTCACAAGCGCCTTGGCGAGCGCTCTTCCACCTTGCAACCCCAGGCCGTGATGTGCCAACGAAATCTCCGCAGTGTGAATCGTATCAACAATGGCAGTGACTGGCGAAACCCCAAGCTTGCGACAAGTTCTCAGATAGGCTGATTTTCCAGTGGCATCTGCTCCTCTGCGGTTCTTGTGTGTGTCTTTTGGGGGTGCCTCTAAATCAGTGTCCCAGCCGTCGCTGTTGCTGTGTTCGTCAAAAACGTCGTTCTCAACCCCTTCGTTACTTTTGTCTTCGTTCTTTAGCTCCATCAACGTTTCGTCAACCTGTCGAACGGTGTTCTCAAACCGAACGGTAAACGTCATTTTCGAGGGCTCACTTTCCATTTTGGAAGTTGTCTCACGACTCATAATTGTTTCTTCTGTTGAAACACGCAGTTTTCTGAGTTTTCCGGTTTTTTTCTCTTGCTTCTGATGAAAGCACGATTCTCTTCTTTCTGGCTTTTATTCTAGTGTTGTTAGCTTTTGTCTGGATAACTATCGCTTCTACCACCAGCCAAGCACCAAGTGTATTTCAAGTTGTCCTTATTAACACGTAGATCTGTAGTAATAAACTTAGCTCAATAATTAAGCTCAAAAGCTTTGTTCCTTAATTACGTAAAGGAAGGCCTTTGGGGATCTAAATTATCGCTTTGTACATTTGATTATAGGTCTTTACATAAAGCGACGACCATACTAGTGAATAATAGTTCACGTTATTCTTAAAAAAATGTACACCAGCAGCTAACTTTGTTCCTCGTTGGTTGCGTGAAAATAAACCGCCGCTTTTTAACGCCCTTGCTCGTGTAATGGGTGAGAAGGAAACAACAAGCGAGTCGCCATCGCCCCGCTACAGCCTTTCTGTTACCAGTGGAAATGTGTTAACACTTTAAATGACCAATATCTCGTAATTAAACTTTGTAAATATTGGCTATTCTGTTCCATAATCACATATCCTTTATCTTTTGTATTTCCTTTCCCTGATTAATTTTCTTAATGAGGCATTTCCTTTTTGCAGGGAATCGAATAGGCAAAGAAGCTAAAAAAGAAAATTTCAATTGTTTTACAGGACCAACAACTATAAAAGGATGCTTAACGTTTCAGAAGCAGTTTTGATAAGTTTTTTTTCCAGTAATTTCTATAACGATACCGAATAAACAAAATCCTTAATTCACTATTGGCCTTTTAATTCGTCCATTTATTTGGGGTCACGTTGTCCTAGAGATGAAGTGAGTGGATTGTCTGGCAACGAATCAACTATTGATTCTGATGCGACATACCCGGATGGAGGCAAGGCCGCAAAAGGCCCACTGGCCCAAGAAACTAATGCAAAAGTCGTTGCCTTATTCCCGCATGTAAGTCACGTGACTGTCTACCATCAATGGTTGGTTTTCACTGGGGTACTGCAGAACATCGCTTCCAGGGTCTAGACAAGTGACTCTGGCATATCGTTATAAAAAATCTAGATCCTACCAGTCCATGCACTGTGATTGGTGGGAAGTCATGCACTAAAACTTAATCGCAATCTTACTTAAAGACATTAAATTAAAGAGCGTTTATTTTATGAAGGAAAAGGAAATTGAAAAGGTTGATTTGTTCTTGTTGCCTAAATATGAAAAGACGCGTGGGAGTTTCAGAGGAGTCGGAAAGCCACACATGTCCACCAATGGTTCTTATCCCGTCAATCCTCCACTTGTATTGCTACCTTAGCTCCACAGACAGAGACACGGAAAAGGCTGCAAAAGCTTTGTACAGTCGAACCTGTGTATAAAGGCCTTGTATTAACCGGCCACCCTCTATTAAGCGACTAGTTTTCGAAGTCCCGATTTTTCGCTCATACAAACGCTGTATTTGTTACCTGCATTAGGCGGCCACCCTATAGCAGTCCTATGTTTGTCTTCCTTGCTTATTTTTACCTGTATTAAGCGGCCACCTTAAAAATAAGTCACATGTCATTTTATGCGGTATTTTATTGTGTTTAAAATGCGATCCATCATCACTATTTAACAAATAAAGAAGCCCAAGCCGTGTATTACACTGATAAAACACGACGGGCATTTGGCAACACGAGGGAAATGTAGAAAACATGAGCCGCAGGCGAGTGTTTTCTACGTTTCTCGAGTGTTCACAGTGTTTTATCACAGCGTAATACACGGCTTAGGCTTCTTCATTTGCTTTATGATATGCACGTAATGTGGTGAAAAACAATAAAACACGCTTTTTCTATGTTTTTACTCTGATAAAACATGGGATTTCGACCAATCAGAGCGTGCGCAGGGTCCTATCTATATTATAAAAAGAAAGAACATGAACAAAGCTACTCTAGGCTGATAATCGGCCGTTTAGCATCGTTAACACTTTCCAGATGTCCGCGATGTGTTGAAGGGAGCGAGGTTAAAAATCAATCTTGCATGTCACTGGGTGAGGCCTTTTAAAGAAACAACTGTCTCTGAATCATTTGTTTGCCGGGATAACAGACCTGCCACAACCGCTAGACTACCAAAATGGGAAAATCGTCGACCCTGAGAAAGTCTACCCAGCAAGTTGTTAAATCTTGAATAATTCGTGCGATAACTTGGGAGGGTTTAATTTGAGACTAACAGCATGTGACAGTCAAACCAAGTGAAGCGTACCCCTCGAGATTACATTAATGAATTGATTATTTGAATATTGAACCCGCTAATCATTTCAAGAATGCAATAATGAATAGATTATTTGAATATTGAACTCGCTAGTCATTTCAAAAATCAATATTAAATTGATTTTTTTGAACATTAAACCTATTAGCCGTATTTTTGGAACGACTAGTGGGTTCAATTTTCCAATAATCAATTCATTATTGCATCCTTGAAACGACTAGCGGGTTCAATATTCAAATAATCAACTCATTAATGTAATCTCGAGGGGTACGCTTTACTTGGTTTGACTAAATTATTTAAAAAGTAGTTAAAAAAAAAGAACGTTCTCTGGTTTAAAAGATTAAAACATAAGCTTTCGTCTATCAGTCTATAGCCTTTAATGAAAGAAAATGTTGGCGCGCGAATGGAAAAATGACAAAAAAATATTTCCATTCGCTGACCAGCATTTTCATATAGACTGATAGCCGAAAGCTTAAGCTTTTAATCTTTTTAATCAGAGAACGCTTGTACTACTATTAAATATATCCCGTCCTTGTTACAGCTCTATTTTTGATCGTAAATTATGTTAAAATCTCGTCTCCTACGCAGCCACTCTTATTAGTTTGTCACGCAGTCCCCACCAAAACGTATCGTGACGGCCCAAATAAGGGCCAAGAAAAATACTGCTACTTCAGACACATCACGCAACTGGTTCTTACTATTATTATCCCAAACGATCTCGGAAGCAAATACTGTCATAAACAATTGCTGTTAGCATCGTGCTTCGTTCTTTCAAAGGCGTTCTTCCCTGGTAAAAGTAATTATTTTTCCTTCTCTTTCGTGTCACGCCCCTCCCCCCCCTCCCCCGCCCTTTCCAGTGTAATGAGCAATACATCTAAATTTTTAAGACATGAAAGAGTAGAAAGAGTAGGAAACATCAATAATAAAAACAATAATAAGCAGTAACTCATCGACAGAACTGAGACAGCAGTTCATATACTTCGCACCGAATATTTCGGTCGTCACGCAACGCCGATAGCATAGACGTACTGCGTGACTGAGAAGAATACTTGCGTGACGTTTGGTATTTAACGCAGGTGAAGAAGACTGTAGCTCGCGTTTGAGTAGTGGCCACAAAATAAATTCAACTACTGATTTTAAGATGCATTTATTAGTAGTTTTAAAAAAAGGTGTAACACACTTTTAGTTGCACTTATTAAGCTAAACACTGTTAGTAGCTACTTCCAATTTAATATGAAAGCTGCAGAATAAACGTTTCCTATTTTCATTCTGTTTTACTCTACTGTGACGGAGGACAGCTATGATTTCCTATTGAGCGTTGTTCAGCTCAACCAAACCTGCTTTCTTTCGAATTCTCATTATGTTTTCGTCGGCTTTTCCCGGCTCGTGTTGCCAGAGCCAACTGCATCTTCTTAAATTATGTTCCTAGTAAGGACACAAGTAAGCTGGCAAGATACTACTTTCTATAACAGGAAACATTTGAAATTCAAGCTACTTATACAAAACACATAACAACTAGCTTTTTTGTTTCGATTTGACGGTGTGGACCTATTATTAAACTGGGAAAACTTAGTCCATTTTGTTGTCGCCGCTTAATCAAGCATTTTGTTCAAGAATAGAATTGCAACGACCAGTCAAACGCACCGCGTCACAACTAGAAACTTAAACCTGCCATCTTGCACAGTTTTCCCAGTTTAAGATTGCACTCTTATACTGTCAGGCAATAAACGGTAATGTTAGTTAAACATTTATTAGAAAAAATATTAGAAAAATAGTGTTTACTTTTTACGGAAACTTCTCCAACACCTGACTGTTATAGCGCAGATGCTAAGGAGATTCAAACCTCTATTTTTACCAAAAAAGTTAAGAGTGTGGTGCAAAACTAACCTTACACGCCTTCACCTAACGCAAAAGGCTGAACATTTGGCCTATTACCCAAAAAACATTCTAAATGATCACTTGTGACAATTGTTAAGCAGCTACTAGCTAAAGTTTGCAGAGTTGAAAAATGGGATTTTAGTTTTCATTCGCTCAAATAATAACAAACAGTGTCCTTGCATTTCTTTAGGATCTCGTTTTCCTTAAGCTTTTTACCTTCACGGTACGGGTGGTCACGGTCTGTTCGCCTCCCTCGAAATCGTCGTCGTCGAGCTCAAATCGGGTGGATTCGGCTGATGGCCCGAGGTCTGCGTCACCGCCACCTCCCAGGTCGAAGAAAGATTCGATTTGCTTTTTCGTGGATGAGCTGTACCCCTGCGTCTTTAAAGCTTCATTTTCACGCTGTAACTCGTCCATGGTAAGCTTGAGGGACTGGAGTTCTCCAGAGCGTTGCTGTTCTTCCAAGGTCCGGGCGCGTCTGTAGTCATCAATTTCAGTTCTCAGAACATTGATTTCTCCAGCGCTTTCCACGGCCTCTGCATGCTTTCTGGAAAGCTGCCTTTCAAGGTCTTCCTTTTCGCGGCGGAACGATAGGCTGCGTTCCGACAACTCAGAGATCTGTTTGCTTATCTCATGTGCATCAGCTTCTCCCTTGTTGTGCATGGCGGCCAACTGGAGTCTCAGGCTTTCCTTTTCTCGTTCGGCATCTTCAAGTTGTTGTTCAAGGCGCGTTATTTTGTTGCGCTGGTTGGTAACTTCAACAAGCACAACGGCCTTTGACTCTTGGATGGACGCGTTCTCTCGGCTCATCTCCTCCATTCGCTGTTGTAGCACTGTCAGCTCGTTCTCCATGTCCTCGTTTGCTCCTCTGTTGATTTCATACTTCTCCTCCAGTTCTGAGAGTCTCCTCTGGTAGCTGACAACTTCGTCACGTAGTGTCGCACTTCTGATGGTCTCGGTGTTGTAGGTGATTGTCAGCCTCTCAATGGTCTCGTGTGCGCCGCCTAACTGGTGTTTCAACTCTCCGATAACCTTATAGCAGGTCAACAGCTCAGCTTGCACCTCGTTTTCTCTCTCTTGGCTGCGTTTGTATGCTTCTTGCAGTTTGGCATAAGCGCCGGAGTCATCATACTCGTGGCGAGTGCTGATGTGGATTTCATACTCGGCCTCGATTTTTGTGATCTTCTTTTGCAGTAGGTCGTAGTCTATTTTTAAGGTGTCCTTATCGCGTCTTGCAGAGTCCAACTCGGACAAGAGATCAGCAATCTTTCGTTTGGCTGATTCCAGCTCGACAGTCAACCTGTTCTTGTCGGATGTTAGGGTCTGGTTGCTGTGCTCTAAGTTATTGATAGTTTTCTGCATGGAGTCTAGTTTGTCTTCTAGGCGTTTCTTGTCAGCGTCCAAGTTGTCGTAGCTGTTTACTAAAGTATTGTACTTGTTTTGCCAGGAGGAAACATCACTGCTAAGACGGTCGCGTTCGCTCTTGGTTGCTTCAAGGTCAGAGGACATGTCAGGAAACATGTCCACACCAGCTTCCAAACCGCCGCCTGAAACTTGACGAATCATTGGCTCTGGCTCGCGTCTGGCCTCTTCCAAAGCTCTCTTGACGTCCTCTAGTTCCATTTGAAACCTGGCCTTGTCTTCCAAGGCCCTCTGCAGTCGACCCTCGAGGTCCTCAATCCTTGGATTCATTTGATTCAACTCATTTTGTAAATCGCGCTTTTCCGTCGCCAAGTTGTCGAAGTCGTTCCTGTAGCTAGCCAGTTCTCGCCTTAACTTTTCCAATTCGGCCATCAATTCGGCGTTTTCTTTCTCTAGGCCATCAATGGTGTACTTTCGTTCTGACCACTCTTGTACCTGCGAGTCATACTGCTGCTGCAGTTCCCTCAGTTTCTTTTGCAGCTTTGCGATTTCCAGTTTGAGGTCTTCGTTCTTTATCTTCACTTGGTCAAGAGTGCCTCTAACGTGAGCGTGCTGTTTGGCTTCTTTCTGGAGTTCATTATCCAGAGCCTCGATCTTGTCTCGGAGGGTCTGTATCACACCGTTCAGTTCACTCTTGCTGTTCTGGCAAGACTTTGTGGCTGCCTCGAGATCCGCTACCTTTTTGTACGCTTCCATCAGTTCCTTCCGCTGATCTTCAATTTTATCTTGGTCCTCTTCTGCCTTTGCCTCTAGCTGGGCTATCCTTTCTCTCGCCTTTATCAAATCTTCGCTGAAGTCTTTCACCTTTCCTTCATAAGTTTCGTTCTTGGCCTCGAGACGGAATATCTTGTTCTTAGCAGCGTCCAAGTCTTGCTGTAACTGAGTTATTCTGTTCTTCCATCCAAGAGCTTCATCGGAATCAACCATGTCTTTAGACTGTAGATCCTTTAGCTCATTTTCAAGCTGGTCTATCCTCTTTGTCTTCCACATGGAATCTCCCTCTAGTGCATTTTTGGCTCTGTTGGTATCGGCGAGTTCACTTTCTAGTTTGGCTATTCTGCTTCTGAGTGATGCATTATCTTTAACTCCATCTTCCTTTTCTCGAAGTACTTTCTTGTACGATGATTCCAAGTCCTTGTACTTCTTGTTTGGCACAGAGTCATCTTTAAACTGGAACGTATCTGGAGCTGACTGAAGACTAGGACCAACACTCTGTACGATAACCTCGGACCTGAAGGTATCCTTTACTTGACGATTTGCTTCCAGTTGGATCTTTTGTTCCGAGATGGTCTTCTTGAGAACGGAGATCTCCATCCTGATGCGATTCTTGTCTGCTTCCAGTGTTTTGATGCGATTGTCCAGGCTTCTAATCTTCTGTATCTTCATGTTCAGTTCGTTCTGTAATCGTTCGATGTCGTTCAAGGCGTTAAGGTACTTCTTCTTAAAGTCCGCCGCGTTAGCATTAGCAGTGGCCAGGTCTCTTCGTAGCTTTTCGTTCTCATCTCGGAGGAGAGTCGTGTGGTGCTCAAGATCGGCAATCTTCGCCTCTTTATCTTGTATCTGCGCGTTCAAGTTGTCCACCGTTTCGGTAAGGTTTTCATTAGCTTCTCTCATGTTATCCAGCTTTCTCTTCAAAGAGGCTATCTCGTCCTTCAGCTGGCGCTCGTTGCTAACATGCCAGTTGATCGTACTCTGCCTATCGTCTAGGTCCCGCTTCAGGGATTGGATTTCTCCTTGTAGGTCACGCACTTGCATCTTGGAGCCATCTAATTCACTGCGTGCCCTTTGCAAACGCTCTCCTGTCTCAGCTAATTCTCCGCGCAGGTTGGCTTGCTCTTGTAGTGCGCGATCTCGTTCAGCCTCGATAGCAGTGTTCTTCTCCTGTGCCCTCAACAATTCCTGGTGGAGATTCTCGTTCTGAGTATTGACCATGTTGAGCTTGAGTTCGGCCTCGTTCAACTTCCTCTTTATCTGGTAAAGGTGGTTCTCGACATCTGCACGGCGCTTCTGTGAATCATTAAGGCTTGCTTTAACAGCTTCGAGTTCTTTCTTCAGCATCTGGTTATCCCGTTCCAGAGCGTCTTTTTGTGCGCGCAAAGAAGCAACAATGCCTGGAGCATCAGTCTGATCTCCGGTTTTTGAAAGACGAATGGTGAGCTCTTTAATACGCCTCTCTAGGTCCAATATGGTTTCATCGTTATCCTTCAACGTCTTGTCTTGAGTTTGTACTTGGCCTTGCAACTGAGCTTTTGAATCAAGAGCCTGTCGTAGTTGCTTCTCAAGTTGGCCATTTTTCTCTTTCAGGTCTTCCAAATCTCTCTTGAGAAGTTCAACTTCAATTCCACCTCCGACATCCGATTCAACAACGTAGCTTTCTGATTCCACGAGAATAGAGGGTTCCATTGCTGGGGCTGATTCCAAGTTGACAATTTGTTCTTGGGCTTTCAGGAGTTTGTCCTGCAGTTCTTGGCCTTTATCTTCATTGATCTTATTAGCGATGTCCAGTTCTGCGATCTTTCGCTTCAAGCTAATATTTTCCTCATCGAGACGCTTAGCCCTGTCACGATTGCTGTCACTCTTGCTTTCAAGCAATGTCGTCCGCTCATTGGAAGATTGATAAGCTTTCTCCAGTTCTCTTATCTTTTGACGGGCCGATTCATTTTCACTCTCCAAGCGGCGCAAGTTCTTCCTCAGATTATCAAGCTCCTTTTCTAGCACTTCGTCTTTGTTCCTCAAATCAGCTATGATCTTATCTCTGTTCTCAACCTCTTTCGTCAGGAAAGTGATCTTGCCCTCAAGTTCTGTTAGCTGCTTGTCAACATCCATTCTTTCCTCGCGTAAATTATTTAGTTCCTTCTTCAATTCTTCAATCTTCTCTACGAGTGTTGCCCTCTCGCTGTCCAGGACTCTGATATGCTGCTCAAGATTGGCGATTTTGTCTGCATTGATCTGGGCCTCGTCGAGTGCTCGATCTCTCTCCCCTGTCAGTTTAACGATGCGAGCCTCCAATTCGTTTATCTTGTTTTGCAAGTCTAGAATTTCATTCTGCTTACGAGCATCTTCAGCTTTCAATGAATTAATCTCGTCTTGTGCGTTGTCTAAGCTGGACTTGGCAGCGTCAAGTTGGCCTTCTAAGAATTCTTTGCTGGCTGTTAAGTTCTTGATTTCGTTATCTTTTTCTGTCAGTTCCTTTTCAGCTTCCTCGAGCTGTATCTTGTTTTCGACGATGGCCTGTTCGAGTTCGAGATTCTGTTTTCTTGCCTTCGCCAGTTTTTCTAGGGCATCTTCCAGCTGCTTCTTGAAAGAGTCCTTTTCTTTTTCTTCATTATCACATGCTACCTCCAGATCAGCCACCTGGTTGTTGGCAGCTTCTAAGTCTCCTCGAATGGCTTGCTTTTCCTTGTCACTACGATCGCAGGCAGCTTGCAGGTCGCGGACCTTCTTGTTTAAGGCGTTAACTCTAGCTCGGAGATCGACGTTCTCTTGTTGGACTTTGCGATAGTCAGACTCCATCTTCTCCAAGCGTACTTTTAGGGCTTGTAGCTCCTGCTTCCACCGGTTCTCGCGGTCCTGGCTAGCCTTGTAGAGAGTCTCAATCTCAATATATTGGGTGTCGTGAGTGGAACTGGTTCGGTCTCGTTCTTCTCGCTCCCTATTTAAGTTTTGAATAGTGACTTCGAGCTTATTCATGCTGAGGTTGACTTGTTTAAGGCTGGTTTCTAAAGATTTTATCTTGTTCTGGGCGGCGTCGAGGGCATTTCGAGTTGTCATCAGTTCTTTCTTCAAGTTAAGGAGTTCTGCGTCCGCTGCGGCCTTCGCAGCTTTTAGTCGTTCAATGACAGCATCTTTGTCCTGTATCTCCTTGATTCTTGATTCTAAGTCCTTTTCCAATCGTCGTATCTCGGTTTGGAAAGTCAAGTTTTCTTCCTTGAGCTTCTTCAAAAGGTCGCTAAGGTTTGAAACTTCCTCTTTCAAGGCATTTCTTTCTTTTTTAATACTGTTGAGCTGAGACTCCATGAGCGCCAACTTATGCGTCTTGTTGGAGAGGTCAGTCTCCAGAGCATTTCTTTGTGCCTTCAGATCTTTTATTTCCTGGTCGAGTCGCTGAATTCGCTTCGATTGCTCTTCAAGTTTACGCTCCAAATCTTTCTTGTCAGACCTGAGGCTCTCAGCTGTTACGTTTGCAGCAATAACTTCCCGCTTAGCATCGGCCAAGTCGCTTTGTAACTTCTTTATCTTGTCATTGAGGTTGGAGATTACTGTGTCCTTCTTACTATTCAAGTTCTTTAGACCGTCATTGACTTTCTCCAATTGGGATACTTTAGCCTGAAGGTCGTTGTTTTCTTCTTTGGCTTTGACGATCTTGTTGTTGGCATCCTTTAAGTTGTCCTTCAGTTGAGCATTTTGCTTGCGTTGAGCGGCCAGTTGGCTCTCGAGGTTGTCGATCTTTCCTTGGACATTGTACAGGTCGTCCTCGGCCTTTTCTTTGTCTCTATCAGCAGCTTCTAGGTCAGTCTCCTTCTGTGCAAGGTCACTTTGCGCCACGAGGATGTCACGTGCAAGGTCATCTTTCTCACCCTCCAGTTGCTGGATGCGATCGTGTAACTTAGAGATTTCCTCATTGGCAGCATCGAGTTCCGCCTTTAGTTGCTCGATTTCTTTGGATTGATCTCTATCCTGAAGCATTTTGATCTTCAATTTGAGGGACTTGATCTCTTTCTCCAGCTGTGCATTTTTTTCTTGTTCTCCTTCAAGCATGCTATCCTTATCACCAGCCAAACTCATGAAGTCTTGGTAGCTGCTCTCGACATTCTGCACTTTGTCTGCCACCACAATACACTCGCTTTGTAACTCTTCATTTCGTTTGACTGTAATGTCGATTTCTCCTGTCAGACGGTTGATTTCTTCGTTCTTCGTGTTCAGTGCAATTTGAAGTTTTCTCCTCTCTTCTTCGACGGCTGCAAGTTGTGTTTTTGTCTTGGAAAGTTCCGCTCTTAAATCGTCATTTTCTTTATCCAAATCATTAATCTGAGATCTGAGAGCAGCGATTGTAGCATCTTTAGTGTCACCCTCTCTGCGATAGGAATCGATTTGACGTTGAGCTTCAGCAAGCAGGTCTTGAAGGCGGTTTATTTCGTCGTTAAGCTTGGTCACAACGGCATCGTGTTGCTTAGCATCTTCCTCGAGGACTGCCTTTTTACTGAGGGCGTCACGAAGCTCCGCCTCCACGCGCGCAAGATTTTGCCGCAGATTTAACAGCTGCTCTTCGAAGTCTCTCTTTTCTTTCTCAGCCGACTCCAGTGCGTTTTCCAAATCGTTGTTAGCCTTTTGTGCGTTCATGAGATCTCCCTCGGCGTTCTCTTTGTCTTCCAGGGCCTGCTTAAGATCTTCCTCTAGCTCCGCCAGTTTCTTATTACCATCCATAAGCTCGTCGTGGATGTCGTTCTTTTCATCTTCGAGCATGTTGTTTTGGATGTTGAGCTGTTGGACGTCCTGTTCTTTCTCGTGGATAGTTCCCTCGAGGCGGCGGATTGTTTCTCGCAAATCATCGATGACCTTTTGCTTCCTTGCGTTGTCGTTTTTGTACTTGTCGAGGTTACGCTGCGCTTCTGCCAACTGGGTCTGTAACGCAGCGATCTCTTTCCTGAGTTGAGAGCTCTTGTCCTTCTCAGCGTCCAAGTCTGCCCTAAGCTGAGCTTTAGCTTTGTTTGCTGCAATGAGCTGTGCTTCCAGGTTCGAGTTCTTAGCCTTCAGTACATCAATATCCCGCTCCAGCTCGTCACGCGAATTTTCGCTCCTTTCCAGAGCCAGTCTCAACTCCGAGATCTTCTTTTCCAAAGGAGCGATGCGCAATTTGAGGTCGTCTCTCTCTTTGGAAGTGATGGAGTGGCGGGATTCCAACTCATTTACTTTGCTCTGGTGTCCTCCTACTCTGGATCGTAGACCGTCGACCTCGCTAATGGAAGAGTCGTACGTGGACTGAAGCTGTATATACTTGGTGTTCACGCTTTCAAACTCGCTCTCCAGGTCGTGGATGCGGGCACGGCAACGGACCAGTTCATTCTCTAGTTCTCGTACTCGACTGGTCATCTTACCATTCTGACTCTCGAGCGTGGTCACCCTGCTGTTGGATATTGTAAGCTCGCGTTGGAGATCTTCGTTGGTGCTTCTGAGGCTCTCGATCAGTGCCTCCTGCTCAGCAACCCGCCTGTCGGATGAGCGGATCTCGTTCTCGAGGTCTTTCACGTGTTTGGCTTCCACCTCTGCGCGCATCTCGCTCTGAGAGAGGTCCTGCTTTAGCTGCTCAAGCTGATCTTCCAGTGCCCCGTTTTTCTGCTCCAGGTTGCGGATTTGCCTGTTCTTGCCCTCTGCCTCATCCCGCAGTCTGTCAGCTGTCCTCTTGTTGTTCACCGCCTCCGTCTGTGCACTGGACAGTGCCTCCTTACTCTTCTTCAGGTCGTCTCTTAGCTTCTCCAGCTGCCTCTTGAGGTCCTCTCGCTGCTTCTGAGAATTCTGCAGTTGAACTTCGAACTTCTTGACCCTGAGGTCGCACTCCTTCTTGGTAGCGTCCAAGTCTCGAATGGCTCTATCGTAATCAGCCTGCAATCGCGCAAGCTTCGTCTGGAGATTCAGAATCTCCTCCTGTAACCCCTCCTTTTCATCTGCGGAACTCTTCAGGGTGGCTTCGTACTCCGAGATCTGAGTGTTGAAGAACTCCTCCTCCATTGGAGCCGATTCCTGAACAGTGGTCACTGATTGGCTCACAACCATCTCGGATTTGATTGTTTCCAGTTCTCTTTGTAACGCCAACTTATCGGCCTTAAGAGACGAGATGATGTTGTTCTTAGAAGACAGTTCGCGTTTGAGTGCCTCCAACTCAGTCTCTCGCATCAGGAGCCGTTTTCTGATGGACACGAGCTCTTCATTGAGCCTGTTCCTGTCACTCTTGCTCTCTTGAAACTGCTCCTCTACTTGTCGTTTCTGACGCTTCAAATTCTCGATTTCCAGCTTAAGCTGTTGGACCTTCGATATAACAAAGAAAAATTAAAACGTTAAAAAGACCATTTCTATCACATCGTTTTTGTGTTGTGCCATATATCTGATATTTTTTTTGTTTTTATTTGCACGCTTGTTTATTTGTTTTTGAGGAACTTAACCTGACGCGGGTCTATCCATTTAAAAAGTGTTTTGGCAAATGTGTTAAAATGATCTCTGAAGTATCGGCAGACTGTTTGCAGCATCACTGTTTTCTCGCTTTCCCTGCGATAATCCCTGTGAAAATTTTCCGCTCGCTACACGATCTAAAAATATGGATGCTGTGAACAGTCTATCGATGTACCGTTGGAACAAGCGACCCTGAATGCAACAATTCAAGCGCCGAAGCCATATTGTAAATCCGCAAACAGTTTGTAGTCTCTGAAGTGAGAAGGAATCTATTTGTTTTCGCTTTATTTTTGCTTATACATCTAGACCTTATCACGGTTCATCTTGACGGGTAGGCAAAGTGGTCCGAAATTGAAGTGTTTGTATGGGAATGCAATGGCCAATAACTTTTCCAAAATTGAATTTGTGAATCGCAACGTTAAAACACTAGGCAGATGATTGTATTCACCAAGTTTGTAGGATGGAGCTAGGCTACAAGACGCTCACTTAATTTTTCTAATTTTCTATTTTGCGCGCCATTACCAGATTCACGATGCGTAACAAAACAATTCCAGTTCGAGCGAATACTCCCGGCAACTTGTTCCCAACTCTTTCTCTTATGTCTTTCGAGAAGGAAGACACACGTGTACAACTGAAGATAACTGAGCATGCATGAGAAGCATGGCCGCTGTACATACCGATTGTTACCACATACCCGCCGTTTTGAATCTGCTCTGGGTATGGGGGAGGGGTAACCCGAAAACAATGACCCCCGGTCCGCGGACTACCCTACGGACCGATTTCTTGAAGTCTGGACCCCGTTTACAAAAAAAAAAAAAATTGCATTCAAAATGATATCCCGTATTAGAAATAGGTCAATTTGTAATACCCCGTTCTATAAATGGCTGCTGATAATTTGATGAGCTTTCGTGCGTTCGAAATAATATATACCCCGTCCTGGGAAACGTCCCGAAAATGGATAACCCGTTCTAGATCAGGAGTCCCTAAGTCACGACCCCGTTGGGCGGCACATACCCGTATAGGTATTGTAGAGAAGCCTCGAAATTTGTGTTCTCTCCCCTCCGCCATTTTGTTCAGCCCATTCTCCCGTGGGTTCGTGAACTCGTTCCAGGTTTCACAATTGCAGGTACAAACAAGTTTAAAAGACCTAAAAACAAATCTTTCATAGCAAGATTGAGCCACGAATGGGAGGTAAGAATTTTCCTTCTTTTTTGCCATCGACGAAAACAGCTTGAAGACGTTATTTTGGGGCTTTTAAAAACCCAAGTGAGTTACATTTGCACTGCGTAATACTCGGAATTTCACCGGCATGAGTAAACAACTCATAAGTGAAATCTTTATTACGGGGAACCATTTTGAATGCAAATTCTTTTTAAAAGAGGTACAAATTTGGAAAACCGGGTGGTAGACCAAGCACTTCCCGGGCCCGGAGGCTTCACGGTCTTTCATATACTGTACTGTAAAGGAAATGGCAATGTGTTATGAATAACTTGCGCCCGAGCCTGAACCCATTAGTCTGTTACAACGTAACGTAGTCTTCACAACGTAACGTTCGAAATTTCGCGGACACAAGTAATCCGTTAGACAACCCGTAAGTGAAATATTTATTTATTACTTTTATTCCATTTTGGGGTGGTCCGTCGAGGGGATCCGTAGGGGGAGTCCGTGGACCGGTCCGTAGGGTAGTCCGCGGACCCGGTCCGTAGGGGGGTCCGTGGACCGGGGTTCAGTGTTTTCGGGTTGCCCATGGGGGAGGGTGATCGCCAGAATTACGCTACAACATTGCAGGTTTGTAACCATTGAACTTCTTGACAGAGGAATCATCTCTCTATTGTTTGTATGTTTATTTTGGCAAATTCGGTGATTTTTGAGAGATGTTTTTTTAGATTCAAAACCCCAGAGCATTTTAATACATTTGAATTTAACATTAAACAAATTTGAAAGTCATGCTTAAAGGTCACGAGGTATCAAAGGGCTTTTGTCATCAGTGATTATTTCATCGAAAATCTTGCAGGTTTCATAATGTATAATCGCCAGTAATGTAAAATACAGAGCGTATTATTTATAAATTAAACACACCCCAATTAAGGAGTGTTTACTTTCTTATATTACGTATGAAAGAACAACCTCTTTAGATTATTGTCTCGCAATAATCGCAAAAATACAAGGTAATAATGATTAAAGCCGATTGCGAGGCAATGTTCAAATTTAGCAAATAGGTCGGTTGACTTCACGCCTCACAACTCAACAGGTCATGTTAAAATTGAAAAACAAGAACGAGCCTTGAGCTGATCGCACAATTCTTGTAATGGAGTTTCACATACTGTGGAAAGTTTCTATAAAGGGCTGTGAGAGATAAAAAAATATATATATACGTTTCTTTGTAATAGGTTCGCGTGCAAACGTTTTGAAAGGGCCAGTGTTATGTTTGTGTCAATTTTACTGACGTTGCGAGCGCGTCATGTGCGAGACGAATCGGAACTAAAGTAGTGCATATTTAACAAAAATAAACTCTTCGCTTCTTCTTCACAGGAAGCAGGAGTCTTATTTGGCCGCATTTCCAGCTAAATTCACCGCAACCCGCTCAGACTAATGGTACTGCGTGTCTAACCCGGCGAGTTTCACTTTCCCGAAACGCTAAACGACGCCCTTTGTTTTGCAGAGACGCGAATGCCTGCGTAGCGTTACAAGATCGCGTGACTCTTAGACGAGCAATTATTTGAATCAACAAGATTGAAATTCAGCTGAAATCACGACCAAATAAGACTCCTCTCCTCCTGTGCTTCTTATATAGCCACGGTAATACTAGTGTCTGTCGCGCCAGCTTTCCTGGCTCAAAACAAAACAACCCACGCAGTTCCTACTCATTTACATAATTTGAAAACAGTGCTTTTGTATCATTTTGTTGCTTGCGTGTAGCCCGATTTTGTTTGCACCCATGGTCCGCTGACTATATGAGCCGCATGCTTTCCTGTCAAAGCGTTGTTGACTGAGGAAACATATGCCCTTTCTATTATTAGCTCTTCTATTTTTTTTTCAAAAACCTGTCGCGTCAGAAGAATCAACGCTGTGTTGTTTAAGCGTTGTTGATTTCGTGGAAACTTATGCGGTTTCTATTATATTAATCTTTTAGCTTCAAAAACCTGTTGCGTCAGCGGAAACCACACGTGAACCTATTCTAAAAAAATTGACGCATTCTTGTTTTAGTGTTGCTGACCTCGTAGAAACTTATGCCTTTACTATTATTAAATATTCCGGCTTCAAAAACCCCCTACGTGTGCGAAAACCATTCGTGGATCAATTCTTAATGATGCGACTGTCTTCAAGTGTTTAAATCTCAAGAACTCTTAATCCTCGGCCAAGTGGAAAAAATATTTGACTTATACTCCGATTTCGTCTTGTTTTTAACGAAGAGAATTTTTTTTGACGCACAAGATAACCGCTTGAAGATTTCAGCTTGAACCCGCTCCATATGTTTAATTAAGTATTGGGATGCAGCGTTTCCTACTTCACTTTACGAAGGTGAAAGGAACATTTAGTACATTAAATCCCTTGTATTTAGAGGATGATTTCCTTTGCCGTATGATAATTTAAAGACAGACACGACAAACGTAAAATTATTCATTTATTGCACAATGTTCGCGTGAGTGGATTAAAGCATCCGCTCTTTTGTTCCGTTCTTTTCTTCACAGGTCACTTGGGATTCCCTGGGAATTAATACGCGACGTTGAGCCGATGCAACGCATATATTAAGATGGCGTCCCTTTAAATATTATCGTGAGAATTGGCATTTTCTTATTCCGCCTGCTCGGAATGCTTGGAAAAATGCTAGAAATTAGAAATTCTGCTCAGAAATGTAGTCATGAACCAATTATTCTTCTCCGACAAAGCTGTTTTGCTTGGAATTCCGCTCAGACAACTTTTATGCTCGCATTCTACAGGGAGAAATAATTAATAACCTTAGTTACTGAGTTTTTTTCTTTCTCTGTCGCAACCTCGGAGATCGCAGTATTCCCAGGCGGAATTCTGATCGAAAATTCTTTGCAGTTCGCAAAGGATCGAAATAGCCCATTCTCCTTGAAATTTTACCAGTAACGGCATCTTGGCTCAAAGTTTCTTTTCATTATAACAGATTTTTCGCTGGTGTAACGCTTTCTCTTGCTTTAGCTCAGCACGTGGTTACAGAATAAATACGTGCTTGTTGTTAGCCAGCGACATACCGACGCATTTGATCTTTGGTCTCCATGAACGCGCGCAGAGAGGCTGAATTTCAAAGCAACATAACGGTGACAACTGACATATTATATTTCCTAGCGACGCTTTGCCCGCGCGAAGGTTTTCCCCCGATCGAAAACCGAGTACACTGGGGTAACGTTTCAACATCGATGTAGCTTCCCATGCAGAAAATGAACAATCCATTTCGAGTCATAAATTAAACATTGATTTAAAAGCCTTATTAAACCCAGTTGTGTCGAGCGTTGACAAGCGAAGTTGCTCAACCCTTTAGCGAAAATAATATTTACACACGCCAAGTTTGAGCTTTAGTCTGTCTAGAGGGTCACACTAAAGCTGCCGCGGCCAGATTGATTCTGCACTTTGGGTGTGACGCTCAAAGCCCAATTTGCATTAGTGTTTTACTTCAAGCAATATCTCCGTCTGCGATATACGAGAGCGGACTAAACGGAATTAAGAAAGAAACCAATACTTTGTTTACCCCAAGAATAATCGAATGGAGGTGTCGAAATAAAACTTGAGGGAAAGTTTTCTGCGGGAAGCCATAGGCATTAATTTGGAGTGTATGGACACATGTTAACATACTTCAGAGAAACGTTATTGCGCCTACTTTGTAAACATATATAAACGATGTACAAAAAGCAACTTACCTCGCTCGCATGATCTCTTTTGAGGCTGTCGATCTCGGCCCTGTGCTTTCGGTACATCTGCTCAAATTCATTGAGGTAGCTTTTCGCTTCGGAGATGTGCTGGATTGTGATGTCGTTTCCTTTAGATGACATTGCAAGCTCGGACGCCTTGTAAGTAACAGTGCGGCGAACAGAGGCAGAACCAGTGGACGTGACTTCTAACCGCGTCTGCTCCGCCTCGGACATCTTTCCAGTTGGTAACGGCTCCTAAACTCCTGTAACAGTTTCCAAAATGACCTGGTGTCAGCGACTATACCGAGCAGTAGTTTCCTTCGTGTGAGAAGACGCCCTTTTATACTCGCACACACTCAACTGTTCAAGTCAATGCTAAGCTTCACTTCACTTGCGTTGGTGACTGTGCGTAATCGTGCAATCTCGCGTTGTTTTGTACTCACACTAAGTCATTTGCATGCTTTATAAACCGCCTGTCAACACGCCCAACGCTAGCTGAAATACAATAAAAGATAGTCAATGACCTAGAAGTTTCTGATTATATTTGGGCAGGGCGCAGACTTAATGGAATATAACTGGCCAGTCGGATTGTATTGGGATTGTTTTGGCGCACAATGGGGTCGTGACACGACTCGCGAAATTACTCAGGCTTGTATTTCTGTTACGAGGCGCGTTTGAATATTGAGCAAACGAACTTTCTGGCCATCTTATGCGCAAGGCCTATCCAAAGGTACGTATAACAATTTCAAACTGCAAGTTTTCATGCTTTCGTTCAGCTTCGCTGGCATAACACTTTAGTGCGTCATGACAGAACAGACGCCCTTTCACCATTTGAGTTTTCCGTGTGTTTATGGGAATTTAGTTTGGTCAAACGTCCGGGACTTTTCAAGCGTGAAGTGCTAACAATGAAAAAAGCTTTGCTGTACAAAGTCATTATCTAGGAACACTTAGAAGCCATTTAATCAACCAACCGATTGTTGAACTCGCTAGCCGTCCTGGGAACATACCTCAGTGCACTGTTGTTCGAAATTGTCTGAGAAAACGCTGTTGCGGACAATTACACGACGTAAGAATTTTATCACCGAATGTGGCGTGTTCATGTTGACATCACACCCCAGTGCACATCCATTGTTTACAACTGTAAATTGCTATGCTAATGATCCTAAGATATAGCTATGGCGTGGGAACTTTTTTCAATTCAACTTCTTGAGAGATAACTTATGCTTGAAGTGAAGTTTTAATCAATCATTCGTCTTTTTATCTCTTGTTTTCCGTAGTGCTCTTTTTCTGTTTGGTTTCCTTTCCAGACCAGAGTCACGCGAGAGGATATATGGGCCTTGATTTATTCAGTACCTATTTCAATGATAATGATATTTCCCACACATTTCCGGTGATTAAACACAATGCTAAAGGCTTTTATGAAGTGCTTAGTAATTTTTCTTCCAAGTGGAAAACAGCTATTTTTATAGAATGTGGCACTATATGAACTGACCCTTGTTCTAATTATGTATAAATTATCCCTTGATCTTTTCCAATCTGTCAAGGAAAGTTCTGCGAAAATACGCAAAATAAACATTTCCTGTGCGCAACAAAACCCGGAAAATTCTACACAGGGCTACAAAAGGACTTCTCGAGTTAAAACCGATCGCGTCTTGAGCATCGCGGTTCACTGGTTCGTGACAAAAACAATTTGGTTCATGAAACGTCGATTTTACCTCTGCGTCAAAGAGGCCTGTCTAAAGGCTAAATATATTACTTTCCCAGCTTAAATATCATGAAGCTTTTAAATGGCACAAAACGAAATTATATTATTGAAACGTTGTATAAGAGCTGTAGGGTGTTGTTTAACCTCTTGTCAGGGGCTTGATAAGGATTAAGGAGCTTTTGCTCGGTGGTATTGCAACCGTTTTCATAGCCTCGGCCAGGATTAAAACATGCTTTGCCGAGCAGTTTTGGAGAATCGCAGATATCCAACAGTTTTTTGCTTCCCTCAAGAAAACATCAATTTCCGGTTCACCTACAGTGATGTTTCATGTGCGTGTTTTCTCTTTTCTTATCCCTTGAGAGCTAGAAAACGCGTATTGCATTCCTAGAAATATTGGCTTGAAATTTTTTCGATATATATTTTTTATGGAATCACAGTGTGCTATATACCTCGCTTTTAACCCCCTATCGGTGTCACGAAAACTCTAATCACAAACTATCAAAAGTATTCTTATTAACTGAAGTAGAAAATGTTGGACTGCACTATATCTGGGGATTTAAAAATGCCTCCAGATTTTTGCTCCCTCTTCAATGTTCTCGTTATCTTGAACGACCTTGAACAGCGACCGTGTAATTTAGTGCTTAACTCAACAGTGCCGTTTTTAATTCAATATTTAGAGATATATTTACACCCGTCCCTTTCTTAACACCTCTTTTCAGATGATATTGCTTCACAGCATTATTAGAGGTAATTAATTGCTGAAGATTACTATGGCTTAAAATCCACGTCGCAAAAACTGAAAAACCTGGGTACACGGAAATCGAATTTTATTCAGTTCCCTCATGTTGGACCAGAGAAACAAAAACACCTAAATTAGGCCTTGTTGTACCCCCCAAAAATGTTGAAAAGTAACATCCAATATATTTTCTTTGTTTTACTGATTATGAATGGAAATGTACCAAAGAACAAAACTCCTCGCCCTTTCGTGGTCTAATGTTTTTATTGACTTTCATCCACTCAATATAACCCACGGAAAATTTGAAACAAAACGTTAATGACTTCATCGCTTTTGTTTTTTGTTTTGTTATTTTACGTGATTTGCAAGTTAAAAATCTAACGCCCCTTTTGGAGTCGAGTGTCTCCTAGCCTCTTAAAATTATTAGGAAAGATACTTGTACATAGTTGACAGGTTCTTTCTGCCCCAGATACTGTTTTTGCTCGTCTTTCTACGCTGAAACAAAATTTTGTCTTCTAATTTTCACATGGAAAGTGCTACGTTTTGACCTGACAAGACTGCATTTCCATTAAACTCATTTTGAACCGAGAGCTCTTTATAACTCACAATTATGTTCCATTATTAGCACTAACTTAAAATCAAATGGGCTGTCTGATTATCCAGGCCGAAGGCATTTAACTGCGACGATCATTGTCTCAAAACACAAGCAGAGCTTGCACTGGCGCCAGAGCAAATTTACACAAAACAGGCGCCGAAAAAAAAATCAAGCGACCGTAAAATGAATAATGGGCTTGTAAAAAAAACAAAGACGCTTGAAACGATGCGAAGGGTGTGCCAATTCCTTCGCTTTGCCTCACTGGGTTTGCGTGTCGTTCCGAAGGACTGAATTTTTGGAAAATATTGCTTTTATGTAGCGTCTAACCAGGCGAAATTGTTTGATTTTTTTTTCTTGTATATGTAGCGATCGCTTGCCAAGGCCTCTCTATTAATTAAATTTTGATGTGTTCTTTTAATTTTTTATTGTAGCTACCTAAGCAATAAATAATTTAATGGTCGCTAGATGATCAAAACCTGATCAAACTTGTTCAAGTGACATAGAGAGCGCTAAGTTAACTGCACTTAGGAGCATCGGCCTCCTCACCTTAAGATAAACGATTGAAGTGTATTCCCGCAATATTTGATTTCCGTATCAGCGAGATATCAGCCTTGAATATCTGTGTTTTCAATTGTCGCACGTCGACCCTTTTTATTCATCTTTGAACATGTAGGTTACAGTCTTCGAGCTCAAACGATAATGATGCGCGCTAATAACTCCTACAGAATTAAAAACTTTTGGTTCTAGGCGACAGAAATTTCCCTCCGAGTTTGTTTACGACCTTTCATGTCGCAGACCCTCACACCCTTCGAATGCACTGAAGCGATACGTGAAGTTTGCCGAATTAGCATATTAGTTATACATGTGTGTTGACTGTTGGGCAACGCCGCTTGCTCAGCGAACTTGTCATTACATTAGCATAGAATTTACGTGCTTCGGAATGTTGTTAGTGGCATAAATTAAGCAAGAGAGCAGAGCGTAAATACTTGTTCTTTCCTTGCAGGCGTGATCTGTTGTTCGCCTGCATGACAGTGGGCTCGCTACCGACCACACTGCCACTATTGCCAAGAGGTCACCCACCAATCTAACGATGAGCACAAAGAAGGGAGCGAGCAGTTTCTCGAGTGTGTCTGGCGCTGGCGAGCGAACAGAGTCTTACAAGAGCGACACGGCTGAAACTACGAGTAAAACCAAGTTTGGAGACGATGTGTATTCGTACACTCGAGTCTCGAGGATTTCACAAGGGTTCTTCGACAACGACGACCTGGCTTTGCGGCACTATGATGAAGCGAAGGACACCTTCACTGCGCTGGAGGCCGCTTACAAGAGACTTCTTCTTCAAGTGGAAGCCACCAAAGAAGAGCGAAGATTCGAGGTAAATTGTAATTATTCCTCCTTTCGTTAACTTACTAAATTTTAAACCCCTCAACTGAAACCGAACTTTAGCAAATTTGTTTACAAGTTAAAAATTGTAACGGTGAACGATAGCCACATTAAGAATCGTGCGTTGCTCAAATTTAAGTGTTCTAAAGTTTTATTCTCACGACATTTTAAAGTTCTTTTGCAATTTACTGTTGGTAGGTTAATCCAACACATTTATATTAATTCAAGCAATTCACTAGGGACTTCGTGTCAGTGTTTTGTTCATAAGCGTTCTTACAAAAGATTACTTTATTCCCGTTTAATTTGTCAGACAGTTCGTGTATCTTGCATTTCATTGCTTACTTTTTTCTGGTGTGATCGATTGGAATTATATTACACATTGTAACACCTTCCTTTTCTAAAACATTCAAAAGCGTGTATTTAATCATTGCCAATTAACTTGTCAGCTGAATTGTTAATACCAATGCAATGTCAGTGATCTCTTTCTATCGAAAAAGAACCCATTTACTTTTGTATATGCCGTGCGAACGGTTTAATACAATATTGTGCACGAATACATTGAGTCAATATAAATTAGGTGATAATTGAATTAGATAAACTAATGTGGACGCAGTATAGAGTTTTAAGAGATAGAAAAGTTCATATTCTATTCACAAAGTTTTAAAAGAAACTTATATTCAGTTAAACAAGGCGAAGTAATGAGGGAACCCGCTGGGTCAATACTAAGGGAACAAATGATCAATTTCTAAAGCACGCCAAGAAACGTAATATTGATTCTATTCGGAGTACGCAGACCTTTACTAACTTCAAGTTGGGGAAAAAATTCAAACGTAAAAGATGACTGCATATGGTGTTTAGTGTTGTGTGACACGTTTTTGAAGCTCGTCTCTGATTGACATATGTCTGCACCAAATGGCTTTCCGTACTTCAGTTACTTTAGAAAAGTTGTTTCTATCTGTTGTAATAGCTTCACTTTGTTTCTTATCTGTCGCAACTTACCCTCAAAACTCTCTGACTTCTTTTACTTTAAGACTGAACCACTTCAACAAGCAATGGTAGACTGAATATGCAAGTGACTTTGAAAGAAACTGTACTGAAAGCTTCAGCTAATGGAAAAAGAATGTTAATTGCACTTTCTCGCCATTTTGTTAAAAACACAATTACATGATAACGAAATAAACTAGAAGAAACGTAACGCAACAAAAGTATGGCAGCAAAATTTAGTCCAATAATCGATGAACAGTGTTTTTAAGGATTAATTACACGGCTTGTATGCACGATCAGCGTCTGTCTACTTAACTTCTTATCGACTAGAATTTGACACGAAGGTAAATAGGACATTGTTTCTACATTCTAATCGAACATGTTACCTGCTAAAACGAGTGAGCCATCCCGTCAGACGTTGAACCACTGACAAAGTAGCGAAATGGTTTCCTTTGTCGGGGGAGGTTTAATCTGCTTAAGATTATCAACAGATAGACATTTATTCAGACGTAACGTATTTACTCAAAAACTATTTACATAAAAGAAACATATGCGTCGGCATGTTTGAATTTGTTTCCGCAGAATATGAAACTCTAGTTCCTTTTTAACTGGCGGATAGTGACAGAAACCTCCGTGACATCTTTATAGTTTTTAGTAAAACTGTATTTTTCTTTTCATCTTGAAACAATTTAGCTTTCCCTGTTTTAATTTGCTTTCAACCCGAATTTGAGAGTTAAGAGCTTAACTTCCACCTTTTTTTTAAAAGTTATTTGCCACCTTTTCCTAAAAGTTGTTTGCACAAGGGTTGAACTAGAGAGTTGGAAACTTCTGCTCAAATATGACATGATTTTCTAACAGAGTTCCTATTACAATGCCAAATTCAATTCAAATCTTTTCCGGGCTGGCGAGTGAATGATCCGATAGGACTCTCCGTTGAAAGGTAGATCACATATCATTGTCAAGAAAAATTTTCTCATAAAGTGATGTATTGCAACCTTCGAATGTCACTTTCGATACCTTACTTCCTGAAAAACCTGCTGGATACACCTGCTTAATCACGTTTTGAATCTGTTTTTTCTCTGAATACAGAATTCGCCTGGCTAAATCCTTTAGATGGTTAAATTTTGGGCTCGTGCCTAATCTTGGGGATTGCTAAATTTAGTGTTAGTGAGAGAATTGTTTTACCTCTGTTATTAATTGTCTCTGGCCGTTTTAAGGGAATGTTTCTTTCGGTCACGCGCGTATTGCACAAATACTGCAGGCGTATTAGAACGTTCATTGTTTTAGAGAACAACATAAGTGCGAATGCAAACTTGGTCTCGAAACAAAAGTGCTTGACACGAAAATAGATACCGGTTCAGGTTGCATTTAGTAAACTTAATTTACTTATTAGCTTTGGGCCTTAAATTTTACATTCTTAGGAAAGTTATGCCGAAATAAGGAGCATTGTTTGAACATCCGCCAGCATGGTTGTGCAATCGCTTTAATGACCCTTAATCACAGCTGGGGATAAAGCTATTGTTTTGTTTTGTTTTGTTTTGTTTTCCCTGATGAATCGTCAAGTGCACAAAACTCGAACGTCGAGAAGATTAGCTGCAGAGTAAATAAATTTGCTTTTATGTAAATAGGACTAAATTGAATACAGTTGAAACTCTAGACAGGTCTCACGGTAACTGAATGCGTTAGGTCACGATAAGCTACTCTCTCTTTTTTTAAAATAACAATATTGTTTTTCCGGCTCAGGCTGAATATTCTTATTTTTCTGCCGATTTTAGGCTGAAAATTTTCTTGTGAATATTCTTAGATCATGGCGTTTTCCATTTCCGTTTTATTGACTTTGATGGTGTTAAAGTAATAATAAATTGAGCCACAGTTCAGGCAATAAAGCCTAATGACACGCACAACTTATTGTAGAAGTGTCATGAGCATCGACAGAAGCATATGCTTCTGGCATCGAACATACGGCTAGTGCTTTTTTGTTGTTTTTTGACTAGTTTTACCGTTCAGACAAAGAGAAATTTTTATGCTGTTTAGTTAAAAAGATGTAATTGTATTTGTATGTACAAATTTTCAACACAATTTTTTTTCCCCAAAATTTCAGCCTAGGGTTTTTTCTTAAAATATCCTTAAAATTTCGCAAATTCTGTCCGCGATATTCTTATAAAAGATATTCTTATAGAGGAACCATGAGTGCTACATGAGTAAGAGCCGATCGTCTTGGAAGTGTAGAATGCAATACCCTGGAAATTAGCAAGTCATCTTGTGGAATCTATTTCCTATTGTCTGTGGCTCACATTGGAATGTCTGGTACTGTAGTTTTGACAAAGGCTTGTTTCATTTTATTAGCTTTGCTCGAGAAATAATTCTGGCGGATGAGTTGATGAACAAATTATAAATTGCAAACTGATGTGGGAAGAAACACGAAGAACGGTGTAGCGGCGGAAAATATGCCCTTATGGTTAATGCAGTCCTAATCTCTTTCGAGGTAAAATCACGCAAGACGAGATCTCGCAGCAGTTCTATTTCATTATAGGAAAGAAGAATCAGACATGGATATCAAATATAGATGACCAGACGGGTCATTCAAGAAGATAAACGTATCTTTCAACTGCAAAATTTAAACACAACTATGTGAATAATTATTTTTGAAATCTAAACAAGATAATTGATACGTGCGCTGTGATTGGTCGGGAAAAAATATTTTTACAACGTGGAATCCGAGCCATAGGAGCGGCTTGCGTTTCCAAAGCACTTCTCCCAAACATCCACACGTGTCGCATGTACCCTGTGGAAGATAAGAAACAAAAGGTTTCTGTGTTTATCAATATCAGTGGCCCAAAACAGAGAACGTTGGAGGAAGATTGCTTCTACATGGTGTCTTTCTGTCCAAGTAGAACTGAGATTGGAAACCATCTGATAGAATACTCCATTACTCGTGCCACGATAACAGCATACTTGGGAAATTTAATTAATAAATTGCCGTACCGTATTTTGGACAAGTGCCGGTGAACATTTGAAACACAAAACACAGTTGTGTCAGACTGAAGATGGACACGGTCGCTGACCTATGAAACATCGTTACCAGAGAGCAATTGAGTTGGATGAGAAACATTTGAGCATGTTTATGGCTCGTAGGAAACTCGTCTAATCCTGACAGCGGGTGCTAGGAAAACTACTGCTTTCCGTCGCCGATTATTTTAATTTTTTTCCCTCCCGCTGTCAAAATGAAAGAACTTATCGAGACGTACAAACCCCAAGATTTAATCATGATTCTTTCGCACGGTCAAAATTTAACTCCAGTGAGCCCGTTGTTAAAAGCAATAAACTCTTGTTCCTGTTGTAAAGTTTTGAAAACTGTAAAACCTTCAAGCCAAAGCTGGCAAATTGAGAGAAACCAGCAAACACGATTACAGTAAATGTCGCGAGTTACTTTAGTCTGTTCCGTTCTTAGATCGTTTGATTAATTTTCTATGAATCGTTGAGATACAACGTACTGTTTTTGCTTTTGTATGCCAAATTTATTGGCTTTAAAAGAATTGTTTTTTTCTCAGAGATTATTCATGAGAAATAAATGAGGTAGCAGTTTTTTTTTTCGACCTTAAACAAGTCCTTTGAAGTTAAGTACTTTTTATTTCTCTTTCCGAAGCTCTACAGATGTCACGGGTATGTCGTAATACGTCACGCTTGAGTGGAGCGTCTTTCATCATATTTGTAGTCATTTTTCTCATGGGAAAGACTGAAGATTCTGTTCTCAATGTAATCAAATCTGTTACTGAAGCAACCAAGCGTTTCACTAAGAAATGAAATAATACTAAATTTGGTTAGAATTTAAATTAAAATGTAAGCACACTGACAGAAGCAACGGCGTTAGAGAACTGCTTTATGCTTGTAGTCCCTTGGAATTTGTTAGCCTACGTGTAGGCATCTGATATTCCCTTTCACACGGAAAAAGTGAAGCGTAACAGTACACTTCTGTCTACACGCAGTAGACAGTAATTTAGTTATTGTATATCTGTAAATGCCTCCAGCAGTGGGATTCCATTCTGTAATAATAAGATTTGTTTGACCTATCAGTGAAGTGATTCGCTCTAGTTACCATAGAGACAAGGGGCGTGATCAGGGTGTATAGAGGGCGCGTCCACTTTGTGCATGATTTACTCAGGCACCCTCCACTATACCGGAGAAATTTGAAAACGGAGGTTTTTACTATCAAAACGCAACAAATGTTTTCCGTCCACACTACGCTTGAGGAATTTAAAATTAAAACGCAACAATCACTGGCCATTTTGGATTTGTTTTTAAGGAAAACTTGATCAGAGAAATCGCATGATTATCGTGACGCCATCGGAAAGCTCCGTTTTCAAAATCTTGTCCGTCCACACGAGAATGAAAAGGCGGCGTTTTCAAATTTGTCCGGTTTGAGGAGCGTTTTTCGAAAAGCTCCGTTTTCGTGACGGTTTAGTGTGCACGGTAGGCCTAACCGTAGAAATCAAGCTGCGTTTTCAACTTTCTCCGGCGTAGCGTGGACGCCCTATGAAATCGGTTTTTTTGTTGTGGAAATACAAAGCGAAAGCAGATTGGTTTCAACATAAGTTGCCGTTCCCATGAAAGATTTCTAAAAAATTAGACGGGATTTAACACCCTATATGACAACAGAACTTTCTGGTTTCCAAAGGGTCTTGATAGTAGCAGACAAGTCAAGAATTTTAAGAAAACGACAAAGCGTTTGAGTTCATACAACATGTTTCGATACTGTGTTGCAGACAAGTCAAGAACTTTAACAAAACGACAAAACGTTTGAGTTTATAAAACATGTTTCGACAGTAGCTTCTCTCATCCTCAGTTAATCCAAGTGGCAATATCAAACTAGTCTTTTCTTCTTTTAAGATTGATAACATGTTTGGCGTGAAAGACCCTACACCTGGCGGGCTCCGTTCACGTGTGGTTTACAACGGTTTGCATGTCCGGGCTGTAATGCCTGTTACGTCGGTGAAATGGTCCGGCATTTTTCCACACTTGTGCAAGAGCATTTAGCCAGTGATAGGGCCTCTCACATTTTCAAACATCTGCAATATTGTCACGCCTGTGTTCAGCAGATTGTTTCCATGTTTTGGATCACGCCTCCACCAGTTTTCAACTTAAGACAAAAGAGGCTATTCGTATTCAGAGAGAACAAACCTCTTTGAATCAACAATTATACCATATTAATCTGAAATAATCTCTTTAATTCTCACACTTTCACGCTTTGCTTCATTCTGTTGTTACTATTTATCACAATTAGCATTTTCTACTTATCATAAATTCTGCTTCCATCGCTTTGTACTTGGATTAACTGAGGAGGACAGAAGTTTCTGTCCACACATGTTTTATAAATCCAAACGTTTTGTCGTTTTCTTAAAAAACTTTCAGGTTATTTTATCCGAATTTCAGGAAACTCTGCCACGTGCCAGTTGGTCTGAGGCCCGGGGGTTACTCCCTTCGATGGGCTATATAGGCACGTGCGGCCCCAAAGGGTGTGGTTTTTGAGCGGTTTTGGTCTGAAAATGGGTATAGATTTTGACCATTTTGGTCTGAAATGGGGTGTGCTTTTTACTCTGGTATGGCATTGTCTATTTTGTTTACAAGAACTATTTTTTCGGCATCAGGTTTGCCAAATTTGTCGCCCTTCTCAAATGTTTACGCAAATGGAAGCATTTCTGGTTAGCCGCGGTCATATATTAGAGCCGCGTGTTAATTCTTGGAGGTCTGAAATGGGGCATCGATTTTGGGGGAATGGGGTATTCCCCTCCACCGGGTTTTTTGGCCTATTATATATGCGTGTCTTGTTTCACGTGTCTCAAATCAATCATATCCCATACAATTTGCATGAAATTAGCGAACCCGAAGAGCTAGTGATACTCTTTGTTCAAACAATGCATTACATTGTAGTGAAATGCAAGTGGATTACAGTATTATATTTCGTGTTTTTTTAAAGGAGGTCGGCCACGGTGTTTTGGGTTATTTTGACCGCTTACAAAATTATCTTTGAAGTAAATAATAGTTTAGTAAGACAGAAAAACACTAAAGAGATAATAATAAACCACAAAGGAACAAGGATAGTTAAGGATGGAGAAGATTGACACGGATTAGAAGCGACGAACTTGAAAAATTTAGGCTAAACTTTTCTAGATGTGCAAACCGTGACGTAGGTCCTTTAAAGGCGAAGTATAAAGTAGGCGTTCTAGAATATTGAAGTCTGAACACAGTGGTTTCAAGTTTCAGACGTTTCCATGGTTTCAATCAAGCTTGTAGTGGCTTTTGTGAGGAAAACAGAAATTACTGGAAAGCTAAGAAAAAGAACGAGTAATGAAACTTGAATAATGCCAGAGAAAGATTGAAGAAGATTGTACTGCCATAACATCTAAATTTAATTTATGTTTAAAATATGAAGTTTTTACTCTCAGCTTACAATAATTATCTTTGCTGCACCATTTGAAATGGTTTTCACGAATTTTGAAAGGTTTGATTGACAATTTCTGTATTTGAACATTGTCACGAGTACACAAAAAATAGATAACAAATCGAACGCGACCAAACTGATCAAAATCTGTTTTCTTTTTGTCAAGTAAATGATAATAGAGTATAGAAACTCATCAAGCGCAGTAGACTGGCCTAATATACCAGCTCATTGTCCTAACTAGCATGAAACAAATGTATTGTTCTTGTTCTTGTGTTATTTTTGCCATTGATAAATATATTTACAACATATCAATGTAGAAGGCAAGGAAGCCCAGGGAAGCCAATAAGGCTTATGTAAAGGACTAACTTAAAGATATCTAAGACTTAACAAAAGAATAAAAATGTTGTCATCGTCACACAAAATGATCATAAATTAGGATAAAATGTAGTTAAGCAAAACTAAACACGCGAATGCGCAAAATCAAAGGAGGGGAAAATGTGTAGCAGTACCTCTACATAAGGGGAATCAATATGCCAAGCCCGCATTTTTCGAAGGACTCTTGGGAAGTTGCTCCAAGTTTGCCCCTGTCCTTGTTTAAAATCCAAATTTTATTTTCCCTTTTTCCAGACTGAGAGATGGAAAACCAAGGTTGATAACCTTACTCGACAAAACCAACAGCTTCAAGAACAACTGCTCGACTTCAAATCAAGGTACAATAAACAACAGGAAGAGCTCTCCTCCATGCAACGCCGGCTTCGCGAAAGAGACAGGGAAGTAGAGTCCCTACGACGCGAAGTAAACACCAAGAACAGCAGCATGGAGAAGCTCAGAACGGAGAAGGTGGTCATTGAGAAGGAGCTCATGATAATGCGAGACCAGATGGCCAGTCAGGTTAGTCAGGTGCAGGTCCTGGAATCGTCTCCTGACACAGAGTCTTCGTTCCTGCAGGAAACGATCTCTCAGCTGGAAATTGATTGCAAAAATGCGGCGGACGAGAGGGACATGCTTCAGGGCGAGCTGTCAACGCTACAGACGAAGTTTAACCAACTACAGGCAGACTGTGACAGGTACCGTAGACAATCGGAGATGGCAGGGAAGACAGGTAACTTGACCATCAGTAGGTACGAGATGCAGGTGCAGACTGTAGTGAAGCAGAGAGAGTCATTCAAGCAACAACTGGATGACCTCCGTGAGGAGCTCAAGAAGGCCAGGGAGACAATTTCTCGATTGCAACGTGAGGTACTGCAGAGTCAGAATGACGCTAACAAGTACAAAGAGGAATCCATCTTGAAAACGCACAGGATAGAAACTCTTCAAAACCAGAACACGACACTTGAAGATAGTCTGGAGAACGTTAAAATGGAGTTCTCTAAGTGTCAAACAACGGTGGATGTACAGAATCGGCAACTGCTGACGCTGCAAGAAACGATCACGCTTCACGAGAAGACCATCCAAGAATACTCAGTCACGGTGAAGAATCTACAAGAAGAAAAGGAGACTATCGAGAGAGAGCTGGTCTTGGTGACTGGAAAATTTTCCAACCTTGAGTCATCTCAGGCTAAGCTTCAAGAGCGAGTAAAGGAATGGGAGTCGGTGGAGGTGCAACTGCGGAAGAGGGTAGGTGAACTGGAGACGGAATTGGAGGTGAAGAAAGAGAGAGCTCCCGACCAAGTTGATGGGCAGCTCGTCAGTAAAGTTGATGATCTCCAATCAAGGCTAGATGAGTCCGTCATGTCAGTGACCGACCTTCAAGGAAGATTCGACATTGTCATCAAGGAACGAGACGAGCTCAGAAAAGTTGTGGAGAATCTGAACTCCAAGGTGGTAACAACAACTGACTCGCTGCGTCGTGCACAAGACGAGAAAGCAGAACTAGAGCGAACGGTGGCTGCAGACCGTACCAAGATATCAAGGCTAGAAGTTCAATTGGAAAGTGTTAGTAAAGCGAGAGACAGATTCAAGTTTGAGTTTGATTCGGAGAAGAACAAAGTGACGCAGATGAAAAAAGAGCTAATGGTAGTGCAGCAGGAGTTATCTGAAAGCCGGCGGGCCATAGAGCGGCTGAACGGAGAGCTAGACAAACGAGACAAGACGATTGACGAGCTGAAGACCAGAGTGACCTCTCTTGAGGCGAAGGTTGATGACTACCGCGAGGAATCAGAAAAACTGGAAAGGCGAATCCATCTACTGGAAAGCGAGAGTGAGGAACTTCGGTCTGAACAGATGGAGCTCCAGAAGAGGCTAGGAGATTCTGAGTCCAATTACAAAATCACAGCGGAAGAAAGAGATCGAATCAATGAAGAACTTCAAACTGTATACAAGGACATGTCAAATTTGCAGTCTAATTTTAACATCGTGGAGCAACAGAGAAACGAGTTAGAGCATCAGGTGACGGTGCTAACGAACAAAATCGTCAAGCTAGAAGATGAACTTAGCAAGGTTAAAAGAGAGAACTCTGTTTTAGATATCGAAGTGCAAGAGCTGCGGTCTGTTAAAGCTCGGAATGCAGAGGAAATCGAATCGTTCAAGAGTAAGCTTTCAGATTTGAAGAAACTAACAGAGGCTTACAAGAAAGAAATTGTGGAGAGAGACAACACAATTGAACGATTAAGAGGAGAATTAGCTGACGCGACATCTGACAAGGATAACATCCTCGCAGAAGTAAATCGACTAAGAACTGAGAATGACTTTGTGAAAGAGGAAAACAAGGCACTTCAGAAAGAGCTCGATGCAGCCAAGGAAGAAATCTTACGTTTGTCCTCTTTGTATGATACCGCAACGCAAAGCAAGGAGTTGCTTCAGACAGATTTTGAGGTGGTCCAGACAAGGGTGTCTGATCTTGAGTCGACGTACATGGACTTTGAGGAGCGTGGTAAGGACGCTGGAGTTCTTTTGGAAGAGGAACGAGCGAGAAATGCGGACCTAGAGAAGAAAATACGCGAACTTACTGAAAAAGTGAGATCACTGGAAACCCAAGTCAACGACAGACAAAGGGAGATTGACAAGTTGGAGAATGACATGGACGTCGCTGAGGAAAAGATGCTCACGTTAAATATCGAAATTGAGCGAATCAATGAGGAGAAGAACAAAGAGTACCAAAAACTACTGGCGACAGAAAGCAAGTTGAAAGAAGTGGAAAAAGACCTCGACACTGCCAGAGTCGAAAAAGATCGAGCTGAAAAAGAGTTGTACAATCTCCAAAACAAGGTATCTAAGCAAGAAACTCAACTTGAGACCTGCCGTAGACAAATCACCCAACTTCGAGAACAACTGGACGCTGCCAACAAGAAGATTTTTGACAGCCAAGAACGCTTCATTCAAATTGAAAGCAAGTCGGCGCAGCAGGAGAAATTTGGTGAAACCCTTAACACCATGATAGCACGAAAGGATAAGACAATCGACGAGCTGAATAACAAAATAAGACAGATTCAAGATGAGTTGGACAAAACCAAACGACAACTGAACAAGAACACAGCAACATACAACATATTGAAGACTGAAAAGGAGGAGCTGCAGAAGAGGATCGTCAACTTACAGGGAAGACTTGATGATACTGAGCAGGAAATTAGAACACTGAAGCAAAGTCGCCAAGAGCTCCTACGTGATGTAAGTTCAAGAGATCACAAAATCACCATCCTTGAAACACAGCTCACTAGCGTTACCAAGGAGAGAGATCACTATAAAACGGAAGGTGCCACAGTAAGAGAGGATTATCGTAAAGTGAAGGAAGAGCTGATAACCACACGAAACAGTTTAGTAGAGAAAGACCGGCTCATCAACAACCACGTAAAAGAAATTCAGGACAAAGCCAACTTGGTAGACACTCTCAATAACTCTAAGAAGAATCTCGGCGATGAGTTGCTGAGCCTGAAGAAGGAGCTTGAGACAACTCGGTCTTCCAGTCAAGAAAGGATCAGAGATTTACAAGGCCAACTCCAGCAAGCAAATATCAACATTTCTAAGTTGGAGGTTAATGTTACAACGTTGAGCAGAAAAGGTGAAATTAGCGAAAAAGACCGCAAAGAGTATGACGATAAGATATTTGAAGTTGAAAACTTATACAAGTCCACCCAGGGTCGAGAAGCTGACTTGAGAAACGAGGTCGTAGCCTGTAATACCAAGATCCTGAAGATCGAAACGGATTTCAAAAAGTCGCAAAAGCGCGTGTTTGAACTAGAGCACGAGACAACACAACTGGAGAGGACCGTGAATGAGCTGCAAAAAACACGGGAACGAATTGACCGAGAGAAAGCTGATTTGAAAGAAGAGCTTGTCAATGCCAATACCAGGATATCAGAATTGGAGCTAAAGTCTGAGTACGATGACAAGGAGATCGCTTCCCTGAAAAAGCAGCTAGACGGTACACTTCAGAGATCTTCCGGCGTGAGTAGAGAGGATTATTTAAAGCAAGAACAGCAGCTGGTCGAATTGAAATTGATAGCAGAGACAGCTCAAGACAGGTTGAACGAGAAAGACAACCTCATACGACAGCTGGAATCGGCGAGAGCTTACCTAGAGGACCAACTGGAGTCCGTGAAGAGTGTCCTTAAAACTACAGAAGAAGACTTTGAGAGACTCAAGGACGAGATCGGCAACTTACAGGCGGAAAATATCGAGCTCAACAAAGTCATCAACGAGCTTCAAGGAGATGTAAGGAAGTTGACCCTGGAGAAAGAACGTCTTCAAAGCGAGCTGGATAACCAAGTAAATAGGTTTACGTCCTTGGAGGAGCAACTAGCACAGCTCACTCGAACCGATGAGACAAACAAAGAAAAGATCGCAGAGTTAAGATCTTTACTGAACGAGAGTCGAGAAAAGGACATGATCCAGCAAAAGACCATTAACGAACTTCAAAGCAAAGTTGACTACTTAGAAAAGGACATGGATGACAAAAATAAATTCATTGAAGATCTCAAAGACGCGAAGACAACCCTAGAAATTGAGATAGATGAGTTGAGAAAAGCACTCCGCGGGTTGCAAAACGACCACAATATCGTGGTGAGAGACAAGGAAGATGTGGAGAACAGTTACAAGGTCATCTCCGAAAAAACAACATTGATAGAGGATTCGTTTGAAACCAGCAAAGGTGAAGTTAGGAGACTCACGGAGGAAGTTAATGTTTTACAGAGACGACTCACCGACGCAGAAAGCGAAAATAGAGTATATCAGGACAAAGAGAGAGATCTGCTAGAGAAACTTAAGAACTACCAAAGCCAGCTTTCCAAACTGGAGTCGACTAACGAAGTTCAAAGTGAAAGAATCATGGTGTTGGAGCAAGACGTGATATCGCTGAAGGAAGAAATCACCAACCTCTTGAATGACCGCGACCGGGCAGTAAGAGAGTTGCTGGTCGTAAACAAGGAAATAGAGGAAAGAAACACGCAGCTTTCACGACTAAAGAAAGAACTTGATGTCGTCAACAAAGAAAAAGCGGAAATGGAAGTGCAAATAGAGGAACATGTCAATGTTGTGTCTCAAAATGAAACGCAGCTTCTTAACGCTGAACGCCAGCTTCAGGAGTGGATGGTTCGTGGTGATGACACCGATGCCCAGCCGGCGGAAAACATCAAAGCAGAAAGAGACTCCCTTCAAAAAGAGGTTTATGTTCTCAGGCAGGAGATGACCACTACGAAAACTACGCTGGACAAAGTTCAGAGGAAGAAGGACGATTTAGAGAAGGATAATTTTTCACTGAGGAAGCAAACAACGGAGCTCGAGATGAAAGTCAAAGCTCTAGACCACGAAAACGAAGACCTGAATCGTGAACTAATCAAGGATCAGAAGAGAATAAGTGTTTTAGAAGGTGATATTCATCGGCTCAACGTAGACAAGAACAACTTGCTCAGCGAATTGGAGAAAGCGAGGGGCACGCTGGACAAACAGCGTGATGAGAATGTGATCCTTCAAAGAGAGATTTCTGAGCTCAGAGCCATTGTGGATAATTTCGACAAGGCCACGGAAGAGAAGAACAAGCAGATTGAGTGGTACCGTTCTGCTAACAAGACCCTGGAAGAAGAAGTGACAAACTTGAAGCGAAAGATTGCGACTTATAGAGAGGACTTCGATAAGGCTCAACACGAAGTAGCAGCCCTTACGTTGAAAGTACAAGAACTTGAATCCAAAACTGATGGACTTCAACATAGCCTTGAACTTTCAGATAACGAGAAGAACAAACTCAAACAAGAGAAGACGACCCTCCTAACCTCCTTGAATGAGTATAAGACCAACTTTGCAAATGCCAAACGAGAGGTAGACAGGCTGCAGAACGAAATCCTATCAATTAACCGCAAACTGACCTACCTCCAAGCACGGAATGAAACACTAGAAGAAGAGAAGGATCGTTTGAAGAAAGAGATTGCAGACTTGAAAAGGGAGAACACTGAGCTGAGAGCTCGCCTCAATGCTCTGCAGTCGGAAAGAGATCGATTGCAAACTGACATCACCATGATAAACAAGAAGTATGTAAATATACAAACTGTACAGTCGGACAAAAGAGAAAAGAAACCAACAGATGCAGCCACTCTAAGAAGACTAAAGGACTTAGAGGAGTCGTACCAGAGAGTTCTAAACGAGAAAGAAGACGCGGAGAGAAGGTACCTGGACGGAAAAAGGAGAGCATCAAAACTTGAGTTGGAGCACGGAGATAGTAGTCGAATTATCCAGTCATTAGAGCACGAGCTTTCTTTGAAAGTGAAGAGGATATCTGACCTGGAGGACAGCCTTTCGGAGCTTCACGGAAGGGATGTAGTGGACGAGGGAGACTACAGAACGTTGCGTAAGAAGGTGGTTAGTTTAGAACAAGAGTTGCAATCTGCCAAGAACAAAGTGTTCCGTTTAGAAGCCTACAAAACGTCCTACGAAGAAAAGCTGAAGGACTTACAAGACGATCTCTTGGCCAGTCAGCAAAAGACCGCCCAGACCGAGACGATGTTACAAACCAGTCAAGATCAACTGAGCGCACAACAGAAGGAGCTTCTGGAGGCCCTCAAGAAGATGGCCGACTGGGAATCGGCTTACAAGTCTGCGAACAACGCGAAGATAGAGCTTCAACGTACTGTGCAAACTTCACAGAGCAAGATCATATCCCTTGAAGAGGAGCTGCAGAACCAAATGAAAGAAAACGCCCAGCTCAAGGGATCTCTCGACCAAATCAGAGCTAGGAATGACACACTCAGAGAGGAGATCTCCAACCTACAGAAAAAGTTGATAGAACAACAGAAGTACTACGAAGAGCAAATTCGCGAGCTGGTGGAGAAGAAGGCGATAATCGAAAGGCTGCAGGAAGAGAACGAATATTTAGAAGTCGACAGGGCCGAGCTGAAGGAGGAACTCGATCGTGTTCGAACAGAACTGGAGAAAACTGTCATGGAACATCGGGACACGAAGTTTGAGCTTCAAAAGCTTCAGATTCAGTACAGCGAACTAGAGGGTACTGTGCGCATACTGAAAGATGAAAATGAGAGGCTTAAAATGGAGCTTGCGTCTCTCCAGAAGCTTTACGATGAGCTTAAAGTTTCCCGCGAAGAGACCATCGCTGTGCAAAGCATTTCAACTGTCGAAGCAGCACCTGACATGTTTTCTGTGGATCTTAGCGCTGAGTATGAAACCATCAAGGTAGAACGAGATACCCTCAAAAGAGAAAACGACGCATTGCGAAACAAAGTCAGTGGATTGGAAAATTCCCTCGAAGAGGTGAAAGAAGAAAGACGCAAACTTCAGGAGAAGATCCTTGAACTACAGAAAACGGTATCTGAGAGAACCCAAGAAATACAGATCTTAACGGCAGAAAACAAGAAGGTTACATTAGAACTTCAAGCACTAAGACGCCGTTTTGAGGACCTGCAGCAAGAGGAAACAGAATGGGGACAGGAGAGGGACCTATTAGTGAAAGAAGTTGAATCTATGCAGAGAAAGCTTCACGACCTTGTGTTGGAGAGCCAGAAAGAAAAAGTCACTGAAGTTTCCTCAGAACAGATATTTTCTACCATGGAGGCTGATTTCAAGAAACTTCAAGAACGGGAAGCTCAGTTGCAGCTAGAACTTTTAGCTGCGTTGAAGAAGGTGTCCACTCTGGAGCATGAGTTAGAGACAGAAAAAGAGAGGAACAATGGGCTACAAGGTTCAAATCGAGTGCTTGAAGAAAGGGTTACCACACTCAAAAGAGAAGTTGTTGAATACCAAACTAGGATCTCCAAGGTAGAGATGGACTACGAACATATCCAGGAACGAAATAAGGAGCTTCTCAACCAGTTGGCCGAGCTTGAAGTCCAGCTAGAATCTATCAAAGACTCGAGCAAGTTGTCCCAACAAGGAAAGTCTGATCTAGAGAACGAGGTAATTTCCCTCAGGACTAAGGTGAAGAAATTACAGATTCAAGTTGAAGAGGACAAAAAGGTACAGGAGACCTTAAAGGCTCAGCTCGCCGATTATAAAAATATGGGAGACAACCAGTCAAGAGATTTCGCAGATCGTGTCAACGAACTACGAATCGAGATTGAAACGTACCGCAAGGAAGTTGTTGACAAAGAGCGCATTATTAAGGAAATGCAGAATAAATACGCTGATTTAGAGGACGACATCCATAAAGCTCGAAGGGATTTTCAGAACAAACAGCTAGAATGCGAGGATTACATCCGAGACCTCGAAGGAAGTAACCAGCAAAAAGCAGACATGGAAATCGAAATCAACACACTCCGTGGACAAATAAGAAACTTCGAGATTCTTCTTGAGGAGCACGAAAAGGACAAGAGCGAGCTGAAGCAGAACATCAACGAGATTGTCAGCAAGGGAACCAATCAGAGCAATGACCTTAAGAAACAAATTCAAGACGCCACGAATCAAGTGGAGATTTGTAAACGAGAGATCATTGAAAAGGAAACCATCATTCGTGAACTCCGAGAGCGGGTTAACCAAGCAGAACACCAGCTTCACATCACCAAGAGTGAGTTAGACACAAAAGAGAAGGACTGCGATGATTACTGCAAAGACTTGGAGGATGCCAAGAAAGAGAAGGCGGATATGGAAGTAGAACTTCTTGCGCTAAGAAGCAAGATTACTAAGCTGACGGTCCACATCGAAACTGAGAGAGCCGAAAAAGCCCAACTTCAGGCGCAGTTAGTGGACGCGAGGACCCGCGGCGATAAAGAATCAAGTGGTCATGCTAAATTCGTGACTGAGTTACAGACCAAGCTTGACAATGCCAAGAGAGAAATCAGCATCAAGGAAGACGAAATTGAACATCTAAAGTATGAGTTGGAAGTAACCAGAAGAGACCTTCTTTCCAAAGATGGCGAGTTCAAGATATCCTTAGAAAAGATAGAGCAGATCACTAAGGAAAAATCTGAGCTGACTGTCGAAATAATGTCGCTGCGGGAAAAGGTCATCATTCTGGACGGCGATGTACAGAAAGAGAAGGTCACTAGAGAGGGCATTGAGAGACAACTCGTTGATTCCACAGCTAAAGGAGAGACAGATGCCAAGTTCATGAGTGAACAGATCATTGAAATCCAGACGAGGGTGGAGAGCTACAAAAAAGAAATCATCGAAAAAGAAACCATCATAGAGAAGTTGCGATTCCAAACCACATCATATGAACAGGAAGTCGACCGGCTCAAGAGAGATTTCTCCTTCAAGAAAAGCGAATGCGAAAGATACTTGCAGGACATCGAGACGCTGAAACATGAAAAGTCCGAACAACTGGAGGAAATCAGTTCACTTCGGAATACAATCAACAAGCTGGAGATTCACGTAACAGATATTCGAAAAGACAAAGAAGTCGCAGTCGCCCAAGTGGATGAGCTGAAAAGTAAAGGCGAGAGTGAAGCCAGCGTCATGCATGAACAAATCATCGAGATTCAAACTCGCATCGAAGAGTACAGGACAGAAATTATCGAGAAAGAGACAGTCATCGAAAGGCTCCGCGTCCAAATTTCAAACAACGACGGCGAGATTGATAAGCTGAGACGCGATCTGAACACCAAAGAAATCGAGTGCGAGGGTTATATCCAAGAAATCGAGAAACTCAACCAAGAGAAGTACGACCTCGAGGCACAACTTTCCACGATTCGAAGCAAGTTTGACGTACTTGTAAAGCAGATGGATGAGGCGCGTGCCGACAAGAATCAAACAGATAGTGAAACGAACGTCTTACTGGTAAAGATTACCGAGATCGAGAGCAGAATAGAGGTGTACAAAACGGAAATCATTGAAAAAGAGACCTTGATCGAAAAGCTACGCATTCTCAACAATTCCAACGAGCAGGATTTGGAAAGACTGAAGCGAGAACTCAGCAACAAGCAGGTGGAATGCGACGGTTATATAAGTGAGATCGAGATCCTGAATCAAAAATTGGCAGAGTTAGACATCGAGCTTAACCATCGAAACAGTCGAGTCTTAAAGCTAGAAGGATTTTTGGAAGACGAGAGGAAGGACAGGGACATCCAGATCAAGAATGTAAGATCGACACTCGAAATCGACATCACTTCGTTGCAACGCGAGCTTGAGACGAAGATCCTTGAGTGCAATGGCTACATTAAAGAAATCGAAGAGCTCAACCAGGAGATTTTCCGGCTGAAGGGTCTACTGAGACCAGAGAGGGAGGTGGAGGCACACTACACGACATCCTACATCATGCCGCCGAAAGGAGTTACGGTAACCCGAGAGGTTGTCGTTCCCCAGGAATCCACGCAGACGGAATCGTCGTCTTCCACTTTCGGTCACACTGAATTTATGGTCGATGTCAAGGAGAAGACGAAGCCAATAGAGATTTCCAACTACGAGATGAACCCCAAACGAATGGTCAAAATCAGAAGCCCATTCGAAGCGGGTAGACAAGACAGCGCGGGCAGCAGCGAGCAAAGCAGCACCAGCACTGTCACAACAAAAATTACCCGAATTCAGAGAAGTGTCAGTCCAATCCAACGCATTCAGGTCGGCGCAGGATCTGACGAGCCGTCCATCACTGTTGTAAGTAATAACGGTGAGACTAGTAATACTCCACCCAGCGGCCCTATTAAAATTAAGCACCTGGAGTCGAGTACCAGTCCCAAGGCTAACGTCTTCCTAGACCCCACAAAAACATCAAGCCTACAACGAACAAACAGCAAGCCTACTACGTTAAATGTTGCAGACATTAGAAGCCAAACCACAACTTCCACCAGCAGTTCTGTTATGACCAAAATTACTCAGTTGCAGACAAGTTCTATGTCAGGCTCAAACTCTTCATCTTCCCCGACCTTGTTAAAATTACAAGCGCAGTCCCCGACGGGGAACAACTTCGAGACAACTGAGAGCCAAGAAAACAATCAAACTGTCATTTCACAGGTCGAATCATCTCACGGGTCAGCGAGCCCCATTCGTGTGAAAGTAGAGGCGGAGGAGAAATTACAATTTGAGCCGGTGCAGTTTCACGTTGACAGGAAGCCTTTGCAGTCATCCTCTTCCAGATACCAAACGGTGAGCACACACTCCTCTACGGGTGGCGAATCCGCATCGGGGATGACCAGGGAAACTAGCACACGAACAAGGAATGTCCCCGAGTTGAAAGAACAGCGGGTCGAATTTTCGCGAAGCAGTTCAAAAAGCAGCAGTCGTCAACAGGGTTCCAGCAAAACGTCAGAGCTGTAAAAAGTAGCCGCTTAAAAACATTATATTGAAGGGAACACTTGGGTATATGGAGGAACACGCCGCGCAGGTCAGAAATAACCATTGTGGAGTTGGACTGCGATTTGGACATTGAAGGATTAAATGTTATTGCCTTGGTCGCAGTCTTATGACAGTTAAAATGGACCGTAAGGAGCTGTTAAGGTGCCAAAAAGTGAGCACACGTAAGTTATTTTCAACTTGGAGATGACAAGGTAAACAGTTACTTTTGACCCCCGGCTTTTGACCTGCAATAGATCGTAACAGTGGGCTAAACAAACCAGAACCATGCACTATGTTAATGCGCTACTACGCTCAAAAGAAAAAAGAACATTTTCGTTAGGATGAAAACTGCTTGCGTTTTGAGTTTTTCATTTCTTTCCGAGAGCGAACCAAATGACTTTAATCTTGAAATATCAGCTGTGTTAATACCAAGCAGAGTAAGATTGCGGGTACATAAAGCGTTCCCATCTGTTGATTTTAGTTATTGGCCCTCTTAGCTGCCTCAGTCGTATGATAACTTACCTTGTCACCTCCAACTTGACATTAGAGTAAAAGGTATGTGTTTTGACAAAGATACGTCGACAAAATACGCCATAATTCATGAAGGTCCGAGGGCTAGGTATGCTCCAGTTTACAGAACAATTAGGGTGCAGTGCAAAATCATTTTTTCAAGAACATCGACTAATAATATGCCAAATATGGGATGCAGTCATAAATGGTGTAGATAAACGTGGTTTATTGAATTTTTTGAAACACTCCTATCATTTTAGATCATTTGAAATTCACAAAGGAGTTCAAACAGATCACTGCCTTAAAAACGTTTCAGAGTTTTCAACACAAGGGACAAAACCGTAAACAAACAAACAGACCCCGAGGGCATTACTAGTGAAACTGACGTCAGAAGTAACATCACCAACTGTGAGATCAGACACATTTCGATGCAAACAAACAAACGAACAAACCAACAAATGTATGTATCTGCGACTTGACAATCTCTCGGGGTTAAGAAACGTTTGTTTATGGAAGTTCTCTTTGTAGTTTAACTTAGTGTGACATTTCTCAATTCTTCCCACTCTAATAATAAGATTATTACAACTTAAAAGGTAAACTGATGTATCAACGCTTTGATAAATAATGCTGCGTAGTTTAATGGACGCAAGAAATTGAAGTTTCTTCAACTGAGTCAACGTCATGAAATTAGTCATTTTAGCTTAGCTATTTATTTTTCTAGATCTAAACAAAGTGCCTCATTATTAGGACATTATTGTAAAATTCAAAGTTGTTGTAATTTAAAATCTTACTTGGTGTCAATTTCAAACCATGCAGAGGATCATGAGCCTCTTCAATTCGGGGTGCAAATGTCGAATCCATCGGTGGTTCTATCTTCAATTCCTCAAATGAAATCTAAGCAGCCCTCTTATATCGCGTTTTTCCACTCTGAAATACTCGTACAAGGTTTCCTCGACAACAAAACATCGTCTACAATTTGAGGTGATAGACGCGCCTTTTATTGGTGCAAAGGCCTGTTTCAACTGATCACTTTGATGGTTTACAATTTGACACTGTACAAATACTAAATGTCTACAAAATTTCTCTTTCTTGTATATTGGTACCAGCAAAAAATTAGAGGTTATAGGCAAGTTTCAACTTTGGGAAAATTATTAAAACAGGACTGGTTGGGCTAAATGGCCTTTACCATAACACTAATGACTCCAAAATTGGAATGAGCCATAACAGCCTTAACGCATCCTTTAAAACTGAAAACACACAAAATTCCGATTTGTAGTTTGCAATGCTTCAGTTGCTTGTTCATTTCTTGTGGAAACCTGGCAAAACAAAACTCAATGCAGACAGTTAAAAACAGGTCTACACAGTTAAGTGACCGCTTGACTTTTGCAGACGATGACAGAGGAGCTTAAAAACAGTATAACTCAAGGTAAAACAATTGGGATTGTTTTTTGGGATTAGTAAGATTTCGTTATTTAAATATAGATAATGTAAAAGCTTCGTCAAATGTCCAGTTTCATGATAGTTTATAGGTGAGAATTTGAGATTTGTTGCCTCAGTTGCAGCCCAAGATAATTGCTCACAAACATGTAGTGAACACTGTCTCTTGCGGCTTAACTATTTTAAGAGAACAGAGTCCAATTCACCAGATGTTTCTCTCATAAAATGATTTAAGATATTTTCTTTGGAAAGGGAAATTTAACATTGGCTTAAATGTTGTAAGTAAATAGGGCGGCCATAAAACATAAATTAAACATTTCTTGGTATATATTGTTAGTGTCAACAGGTGTAATAAAAGATTAAGAGAGGATTTAAATTTGGTTTGTTTCTGTTTTGGCAATGTCCCACTCTCCCTTTATTCCTTTACGCCCTAAGGCGAATGGCGTTTTTCCTAAATCAGCAAATAAAGACTCTCTGCTTGGGTACATTATACCATTTGAAAGGTAATGTCAGCTTATTTAAGAACTGACATCAGCAGTTATGAAAGAGAGTAATCATTTTGAGAGAAATTGTTTTAAAATGTGAAACTGAAAAGCATCCAACACATCAATTCTTAAATATTATAGGTATGCCCCTGAACTATAGCTTATTTAGCAGGTCTTAGTACATAGCTTGATGTGAAACAAGTCTTGCATTTCATGTGCATCTCAAAAAAGAAATTGGAAAATAATGGGGGTGGTCAACCATGCCTTAGATAGGAGGGGGTCACAATTTTATGCCTTCAGTGAGCAGATCTTTACAAGGCAACGTTCGTGGCAAAAATTCATAGAAATCTCTCAAATATTCACAAAGTTATGACGTTTTGTGCCAAATGGCACTCTTTGGGAGTAAAGGGTTATAGCACTCTTGCCACTGGATTTGTCACACAGTGCTCATCCACACCAAAGGCGACGGGTGTAGACTGTAACCCTTTTGCTCCCAAAGTTTCCCAAAGAACAGCACATGCAAGGTACAGAACCAGTTTACTTTTTTTCAGCTGGACAAAAATGTGACCTACTGTACATGTACTGTTAGTTAATGACAAAGTGACAGACAAGGATTTTACAAGCCAGAAAGCTGCAAGCGATCGAGATGTTGCTAGACTCATTCAAGCCTGAATTTTTTTCAGGCTTTAATTTCACATCTGCTTAAGTTGTGTGTATAACTGCGATGATGAATCATTTCATCTCTTTCTCAACAGTTCAAATATGATCTTTCATATATTCACTTGTAGAAAGCAGCAATGTTACAAAGTCCTTTACAATTATCGAACTGTTGTAAACCAAAACCCTGGGTTTTACCTTTTTTATCATCTTACTCACTGTCTGAAATTCAACATGGTTGTATAGTAGGTAAATGGGCAACTCATTAAAAATGTATTAAATTTTCAAAATAGCAAATTGCTAAAGTATTCATTGCTCAAAATTACATGTTTACTCAAGTCAACTGTGGCAGCAATGAAGTGAAACCTAAACATTACAGATCATGTGCACTGAAGGCATCCATGATCGAGTGTCGATCAATACCCTCGATCGACCCTCGATCAAGTGTGATCTCGATCAACACTCATTTGGTTGAAGCAAATGACCGTCACAATGAATGTTGTCCCGACAATCAGATGTTGGTTTGCGCTCTCGTGACAAGACGCTAACAACTGAAAATTTGCGCACAGGTTTTCCAGAAGTGCGTTTCATTCCCAGAGAAGAGAAAAGGTATTGTTCTGAGGTACAAACATGGCTGCTGTGACGTCACATGAAAACCAACCATAGTTATTCATGCACTGATGGATTTTTTGGGAATTCTCTCCATAATTTATTACCTCACTATTCATTTACCTATTTATTCATTTATTTTATTTATTTGTTTATTTATCTATTTGTTCACTTCTGTACGTGTGTTTCACAGCGATCAATTTTGCAAGACCACAAAGTTCATCCGGTGTAGCACCTGTAAACTTTAAAGTACTTTTTAAGTTATATATTTTTTAAAATATTGTCGTTTTATGCATTAAAGAGAGTCCACACCGTGCCTCTTGACCGACAGAACCGCGTATCAAAGATAACGCCATTTTGATGTGCATGGGCGTCCACTCCTGATAAACGCGATGACATCTCAGTTGTTGTGATGGTCACAGTGCCTTCATGAAACTATAATACAGATACGACCGTTCGCTAGCAAAACTAACTAGTTTTATAGAAACCATGCTATGATGAAACTGGACGTTAGAAATGGTGTTTTAGGAAGCGCGAAGAAAACTAAATAGCAAGAAGAGAACTAACATTGAACTAATCCATATGCGATCAGTTATTTCCTAGCCGACCCCATAGTAAACAATTATCTTGCGAAATCGTGCGAAATATGTTAACATATTTACCGTTCCCAATGTTTTGTCGAAATAAAATTTGGTATGCGGAGTGGGTTCGCCCTTCATTAATCCTTTTCGCAACAAATGATTGTTTGCGCTTTGAGAAAACCTCTCTCGATGACCTTCCTATCGTCCTTGATCAAGACGTTACATATAGATCGTGAGAGTAAGCGGGCGAGACCATACATTATTATACGGTTGTCTCACAAGGACTGGGAACTACCGAATTCACGAATTTGATTGGCTGAAATCGATATTGAAAGCGGTCTAGATTTTCCCATCTAGACCGACATCTAGACCGGTTATGTTTTGTGGTGAAAAAGTTGCAAACTTAGGTACAAAAATATTGACTACTTTCTTTTAACAATATTTTTTTAATCGAAGTGTCAAAAAGCCTGATGAGAAAAAAAGTAAAGAGGACGAGCAAACTTTGGTAGAATTAAGTTCAACTCATCGCCGTTCGGAAGCAAAATGTCAGTTCCCTACAAACCAGTTACATTAAACGAATTAAATTGTTCTTGTTTCATTGCCATATAATAAACATCTTATTAACCGAGCTTAGTCGGTCTGTATGGGAGAATCCTGACCTCGGTCGCGTGTACAGACCTCACTGCGTTCGGTCTGTACTCACGACCTCGGTCAAGATTCTCCCATGCAGACCTCCTGCTCGGTTAATTAAGAGCTAAGTATTCAGCTGAACAAACACTTTCTTTTTACTAAAAGTTGCTACTTTTCAATGACTTGTTGTCGTTTTTACTCTTCCACGACTGCAGTCCAGCCAGAGACATTTTTGGATCTCATCTGTCAAAGCAGCTTTGTCACATTGATCAAACGTAGAGACGACCGCAAGACCTCTAAGCGGAAAATAACTGAAAACAAAGACAACCAGGATTCTCTGCGTATTGTTTCCTTTCCTGGTATTCTGTCTCCCTCAAAGTTGTCAACATCTCATTTAAGCGGTCAAATACCTCGGGCACACACCAGTCACTTTCATGAAGAAAATGAAAGTAATTCTGCAAAACTTTCTTGGAAATTGGGTCTTCTTTGAACAGGGACTCAAACCTCTTCATTTCAGGAATGAAACACTTGTTTTCCTCATCAGAAGGATCGCTTTGAAGATTCTTGTTTGCAAGCACGCCTTTCGCAGAGTCATACTTCTTCCAAGACTCTCGTAGTTGTATGATATAAGGTACAAAAAAAGCCGAGACCTGACTGCAGTTGACTTTCATGCAAAAATTAAGAATGGCAAAGACCTCGCAAACTCGGTTGCCCAGCTGATCCACGGTCCACTCCTTGTCGTCGGGATAGTTATTTGCCATGAAGAGAACGATGTTTTTAAGAGCAAACGACGTTACGAGGCGATCTTTGCATCGCGAGCAGTTGCCCTCCTTCTGGATAGTAGGCATAAAGAATTGTGCAATGCATTTGGCACACTTGAAGCACTGGAGGCGACCATTTTCGGGTCCATACTTGTTTAATTCTTCGCGCTCCTTTAAAGACATTGCAAAGCGGACCGTGTTCAAGGCATAATCCAAGTTGTAGTCTTTGGGCAGTATGGCATATAGCTTCATCTCGTCATCAAGGCAATTGTCCAAGAGGTAGTCCTTTTGTTGGAAGTAATCGCCTTTCTCTTCAAGCGTTGACTTATGAATGGGTACCCAAAAACAGATATCAATATCCGCAATAAATCCATCCGAAAGACGAGTAAGATGGAATGTTCTAGCGACGCTTTGTTCCTCTCCAAGGCAGCTCAATTCCGAGAGCTTCCATCCCTCCGGGATAAAGTCTACCACATACAGAGACCAAATGGTCTTCATTACTGACTGGAAGTTTTCTTGCACTTCCTTGGTATTACCTTCCGAAGCGATGTCATTCGTGAGGGCGACGTAAGCAGGATCATCATACAACAGCGATTCGTCTTTCTGGAATATTATTGGGAAGAGTTTGTCGAAATGTTCGAAGTATGGAAGAACAACGGCGTAGTCAAACTCATCTGCTTTTCCAATTTTCGTGTTCTCGGCCATACTGCCAACTGGAATAACGTAACATTGTTCGAAAACAACGTAGCATGATTCTAGCCTTTTGGATGTTTCTCTCACCATTTTATTCATCTCCTCGAGGATTTTCTGGCTCTCGATCCCAATAGTATTTAACTGCGGTTCCATGAACCGAAGGAGATGATACAGCGGCGCGTTATCATCAAGAGGAACCGAGAGATCATCTGCCCAGTGGTCCGGCTCGAAGTCTTGCGCCTCGTCTAGCTGAACAGGTTGGCCTTGGGCAGATTTGTCATGTTCACTCGCCAATTCCAACGACGAAGCTGCAATATTCTGAGCGCGGCGATCAGCAGTTGTGTCACAGCTGTTAGCTGTGTCTCCATTCTCATCTTTGATCGGGATATTCGTGGTATTTGGCTTATCATCAAATTCTGGAGAAGTAGAATCGCTTCCTTTCCTTTCACATTCCCTCTCGATGCACGTCCATTCTTCATATGGCCATTCAGGCCTGACATAGCTCTTGTAAGTCTGACATACATTGGCTTCTTTACCTTCCATTTTTAACCAGATCTCAGTCCTGCTGAACTAACCTAGTGAGGACCACAACAAGTTAGCCTTAGAAACTATGAGAGAATACCAACATATTGTTTTACGCTGTCGAGAATAACGCGCTTTTACTGTGCAAGCTGTGCCCGCGACAGTACCCAGCATTTTTACGAGCGTTAGGCGAGCCATTTGCAATCTTTACCAGGGTTTTCCCAACATTCTATTAAAAAGTCGGTCTATTGCTTTTAAATCACAATTCTATTTCAGTGTAACGCGGGCGGGTTTCTCTCTAGCAATTCACTTCTCGGGTAAAGATGAGTGAATTCAGCTCTCCTTCCAACTGAATTTACAACGTAATGTCTCATTTCTTCTAACCTGTAAAAAAGGTTAGAAGAAAAAATTAATCAAATCGTAAACAATTGGATTTTAGGTGACAATCGTCCCATTCTTCGGTTGATCTTCGATGACAAACGCATTAAAATTAATGCATCCTTTTTTAAAATGGTAATGTACACAAATTGTATGCGATACCAAAATATTTAACGTTACTTCTACTCAATAACTCGATTTTCTCTCGTGTACTTATTTTCAACACTACAACCTTTTTTCTTCACCCTTTTTATATCCATAGGTTGTGGGGAACAAGAGTTTAATTCAATTCCTAAATCCTGGAAAGCTTTTCTTTCGACATAAATTTATACTTTTTTAATTCCAGCATTTTCCGCAAGTTTCCATAATTTATGAAGGTTATATTACTCAACTCAATTCCACAGAAAGATTTTTGACAGAGGTCTTCTTTTGTCAACGCATCAATATATTTATACCTGTCTCTTTTGTGAGACTGTTTTGCAAAATTTTCTTAGGTGGCAGACCGTTGGACTTTTTGAGTGGCTGAGGGTGTAATCAGGTTGATCAACTCTGCCTTATTTGATTTCCATTACTGTTTTAAACCCATGTCTTTTGCAATTTTACTCAACTCGACAATTTTTTTTGTTCCATTTTTGTTATTTTTTTAACTTTCTTTAAATTTCTTTAACTGACCACCGCGCCCCTGCCAAAGTCGTTTTATTTTTCTAACATATCAAAATTTCGCTGTCCAGAAATTCTGAGTTAAGGGTTGTGGATTTTAGCCAAATAGGGAAACTTTTGATATTTAACTACATTGAAGAAATTTGGTAACAGTGCGCTGTGATAAAACGATATTTTTTTTCTGAAAGCCACCCTCAAAGTTTAGAGTGTAACATGTTTTCTGGAACGATTGTCTTCCAGTTTGTCGGGTTGTAAAGAATCAGACTTGCTTGTTTTTCTTGTTGGCTTTTGAAGCCAATTAAATGCAGAGCATGCGCAGTTAACCAAAAATTGCGATTTCCATTTTTAAACTCGTGGATACGCGAAGCGTAGAAACGTGTTTCTTGTGGGGACTCCGATATACAAATGTGTCACTCCCTCCCTCCCTCCCTCCCTCCCTC